AGACAGACAGACAGACAGATAGGAGTTTGGCCTCAGAGTGATCATCCTCGCGTCACACGATCTGTGGTCCGCACTCGGCAGTAGGACAGTTGGAGCTGTGTCCTGGAGCTGCGGAGATGGGCTGAGACACGGACGACAGACTCGATCAAACTGGATCCGTGGCCGCTTTACGAGGCAGTTACAGGAGACACAACTTAAGTAAGTCATTTGTTCCCAGTTTTACCACTCCCAAACGGCGAACCTTCCTGTTTTATGCCGTTAAAGTTCCCTCTTCGTGATAGGCGTTGCTGGCTAACGGCGGTCGCTAGTGTTAGCTGGGTTAACGTGGATAACCAAACTTATTTGTGGGCACGGTCAAATACCATTGATGTGAGTCGTGCTTTGTAACGCCTTCGGAAGCGCAATAATGACAGCTTCGAGTGGCTAGCAGATAACACGTTTGACGTGTTGCGAGTCGTTTCAAAGGTTTTCGTACCGCTAAGCTAACCTGAACCAAATTTGCCAGTTAACTTGAGGCCAGGGAGTCTCAGCTGTGGAGGCTGTTGGTTTTCTGAAATGTCTAACGTTAGCCAACTTCAACTGTCTGTTGGGATGTTATTTTCCCACTTAGATTGTGTACCACGAGTTTCTCTCGTTGCTTGTAATTTAGGGTCCGTTTTACCTGGCACAGTGAGCATCCTCATTGTGCCACCCGGGGAGGTAAAAGTACCCCTCTGTAGCTGTGATGTTTGCTGTTGTGAGGGCCTGTCAGACCCGCTGGGTTTATGAGCTCCATTATCAGCCAGACTTTGACCAGAAACTCCTCTCAGATGAACCGGAATCACCTGTCTCACCAGAACTGAGACCTTCTGTGTGCCAGGCCTTTAAAGATCGCCTCATCTCCATCGACATTTAAAGCTTTTTAAAAATGTTTCTTTTCTTTTCTAATAGAACATTTAAGTTTCAGGAAGCATGCGTTGCTACTCTTATGTCTCTTTTGGTTTCTATGTTTGGGGATTTGCTGATCTAAAATGAGCACACATAGCCCTGACCACATCTCATTCTCAGCCCTGCAGCTGCTCGTTTCTTCTGTTTTGTGCACACTGGTTATTTGCTGTTCACTCTCAACTTGTCACTTGTCCAGTATGACCACTTAGTTGCCATTTGACCTGGAGAAAAGCCCTCAAGAAAAAGACAGAATAAATGTACCTGGTGACTGCTTGAGCTTCAGGGAAGAAATCCACTACGTTACATTAATCACCGATGAAGCCTTTCTTTTCTTTGTGAAGCCATGAGTACAACATGTTTTGGCAAGAATCTGTTTTTGTAGTGTTCTGTTTTTTGTGTTTGGCCAAATGTGACTACACAAACCCCATATCCTGGATCTACATTCAGATAATTCCCACAAAAACAGAGAGGGTTTCTCTTTTATAAAGCTCATTGGCTCTGACCAAAGTAGAATGAATAATATGAATTATATAGTTCTTGAGTTCAACAGCTCAACAGGAGTTCAACAGGAATTATATTCATTATATAGGCAAACTGTAACTTGATTAGTTTAATTACCTAATTATACTAATATATGCACATATGTACCAGTCACCAGGTACATTTATTCTGTCTTTTTTATTCTGCATATATATATATATGTTCATGCCCTCCAAGTTGTCCTGTTGTCACAGGCACCTAAAGTGACAAGGAAATTCTTCTCTGAAATTCCCCTTACAACTATTTCACATGCTACTCAAAACATTTCTGAATAACTTCATGCAGTGTCCAACTAAACCATAAGCAGTTAATTGCTGAAAGAGTTTCAGTTTCATATATATATATGAAACTGAAACTCTTAAGGGGGATTTCAGAGAAAAATCTCCTTGTGACTTTACGTGCCTGTGACAACAGGACAGCTTGGAGGGCATGAACAGTTCACATCTTTCCCTGTCAGGTGGTTTTGATTTAGTCCATTGAGACACACATTCCTGCCATAATAAACTCTGTGTCTGTGCTACAGTAGTACAAGCCTTTTAGACCACCAGGTAAAGCAAAAAGTCTTTTCGTTTGTTGCTGCCTGGCAGCCACCAGAGGTGTACTACCCTAAACTCTGTGAACATAGACATCAACTATAGTTTAATTAAATATCCTGATTAGCACACATCTGTTCTCGGTTCTGAAATCTTTATTAAAACAATATCATTTGCTTAATTTCTCTGTAGTTTTGTTCCTAAGTGTTCTTGATGCGGGCATGGATAACAGTTTGGGTTTTTTGCTCTCTTTGTGCATCATTTACTTGTTTTTTTTTACATTACCCTAACGTCGTGTCAAAAATGCATGCTTGCAGCTGCACAGTACCTCATTTACAGGATGACTAGACTTTGAGACGTCTTTCTCATGACAGCCAATGTTTGTGCAGTGCTGAGATAGCCGCCTTTGAGTGCTGCTCCTTTCTCATGCCTATGTGTCAAATGAAATGACTCGGGTAGATGCATGGACTGACTGAGAAGCTCACGGCTCACAGTCTGTGCACAACAACCAGGCCTTTTGTCTCTTTTTTTTTGCCCCCCATCCACCCACACAGCCCTCATAATGTAGCGGAGAAAGAACGTCTTTATATTTTGCCTTCCACAGACTGCGCTCGCTGCCATATTTGAGGCTCTGTCCAAAAAGACAACAGATTAAACAGGCTGATGTGACAATATGACTACAGTAACTCTGTGTCCACCCACGCAAAATTTGACATTGAGATGTTCAGATACAGGCATTTGCTCACGCAGGACGACACAGTGGGTCTTTTTATCATTTACTGTTTATTAACAGAAAAGAGCAGGTTTCAAGGATGTGTTCGAGGGAAGCAAGTTAAATATTGCACCTTCTCTCAAGCACAGATCCTTTAGTGTGTATGTTGTGTCTTTGTTCCAACCATTGCCAAGCTCAAAGGTGTCTTTTTAGGGTTTTCCTTTTTTTTCTTTTTCTTTTCCTTTTTTTTTCTTTTTTTACAAGCTCAGCTGTAGATGGAGGAAGGGGATTGGAGGGGCTGGTCAGAGGCTTGCCAAATCAGATGAGTGAGCAGTTGTGAGGAGAAAGCTCTGAAAGTGAAAAAGGAGACGACTGCAAAGGAAGACAGGAGAGAAAAAAGAGAGCAAGCAAGGGGGTGGAGGAGGTAGAGGACAGGGTGACAGTGAGTGGAGTATGTGTTACAGGAAATAAGGAGAGAAAAAAGGCTGAGAGAGAGAGGGCAAGGCTGATATAAAAGGATAAAGGCGGGGTTGTGGTTTGTGTCACATGATCTGCTGGCTGGCTGGCGCTGTAGCCGGGTGAGCTCCAGGTGGCAGCGACCACAGCAGATACTGAGCAAGAGAGGGCTAGTTACGAAGACAACCCAAATTCCTCCTTCCCACCTCACACCTCTCTCTCTCTCTCTCTCTCTCTCTCTCCACATCTTTTCTCTGTATATTCAAGGAATTCTTCGCAGCGCCGCTTGCCCCCGCTCCTCTTTTCTCCGCTCCCGGCCACAGCAGGCCAGGGAATGTCCCGGCAGTGAGATGCCTTATGTGGATCGAAAGAACCGCATCTGTGGCTTTCTGGACATCGAGGAGAATGAGAGCAGTGGCAAGTTCCTGCGCCGTTACTTCATACTGGACACGCAGCAGGGGAGCCTGGTGTGGTTCATGGACAACCCTCAGGTAATTATAGTTTGGTGTTCGCCTTGCCATCACCTATATTTTTAGACGGTAAAAGAAAGTATATGTACTGTCAGAAATATGGAAACTTTCCATGTAACAGTACTGGTAGATGTTTAATCTTCATGGAAAATCTACATGCTAGCTAACCTGTGTTTAACAGTAAATATGGTCGAATTTCATGCAACTACAGGCCAATCATAGCTTGGCTGTCTCCATTCATTATGAACAGAAAATTAAGTAGGCTCTAAACGTTTCCCTGACCAGGCAGCCTCACGAGGATGGCAGGACTTGTAATTATGTAATTCTAGCTGACAGAATTGGGAAGCACATATTTTAGGCACAGGAATATCTCCAAACAGAGCGTCTGTGTTTAAACTGCCGGCAGACATTACTGTAAATCATTTAGAATGGGGTCAGAGGAAACTTGAATTTAGCCCTTTGTCTTTTTGTCGTCGTGATGAGTGTCGGAAGTTGGTAGCAATGTTTGCAGTGACCACAGTGATCAGTGTCTGCTCTGTGACCCCGGCGCCTCTGTTCGTTTGAGTGGAACTCTCCTTTTAGTGGCTACGTGATGCTGGTTTTAAGATTCTCTATTTGTAAGTGCGCTGTTACAAGAAGTATTCATAAATGATGTAGTGTAGGAGAAAATTTAAATAATTGAGTAAGTCTCTCTTTTTATAGAATGATAAAAGTTAAATTTTAATGATGTTAAATCTGGATCTCCTAGTTTGAGAAACACAGCAAAGCACTGATATTAGCTATCATGGATTTCAGCCAAAGTCTCTGGTACCTTCTCTCATTATCTCACTTTGCAGAGCCTTTTTTCCTGCTCATCAGATTGCATCCTGTCTTCCACAGCTCGGGCTCTTGCTGAAACAATATCTGTGTCAGCTATGACACCACACAGACAAGTTTCCTTTTTAGAACTCATGCTTTCCTTTTTTCCCATTTCCCCATAGAACCTACCAATTGGTACAGACTGTGTTGGGTCTCTGAAGCTCACCTACATCTCTAAGGTAATCAGATTTGTTGCCGCAGCTAGAATAAAGTCATGTCCTGGTATTGAGCTGAACATGGAGCCTAACAATCCTGTTTGTCTCACCCAAGGTCAGCGATGCCACTAAACTACGACCTAAAGCAGAGTTTTGCTTTGGTAAGTAAGCACTGAACATAATTTATTCATTACTTATGAATGAATTATTTGAATGACTTTCATCGATGGCATAGATGAGATGATGGATCCTGAGCAACATAGAATATTAAATAAGACTCAAAGATGTTAGATAAGTTAACCATCAGTGTTTTTATTTATTTTATTTTATTTGCTTTGTGAGGTTTTGATTAAGCTGAGTCCCATTAATGCAACATAAGGCAGGAATGCTTACTGTCTGTTAGCACTTCTGTCTGCACACTGTCTTCATGCCTGACTGGACAGCCGTGTTCACCATTGTGTGTTTAGGTAACACAGATGCAGTGAATGATCTAGGTCTGGTTGACCAGGTTTGACCTTTCTGGGAGATGGCACTTCAGATTTCATTTTAGTGTGAGGGTGGTGCTTTTTCAAGAAAGATTTTCTCTGATTATTGTTCTTTTTTCCTCTTAACTTAATAACTCCACATCATCCTTCTTTTTTTCTTCAAAGGTGATAAAGATTTAAAGATATCTTGATGAATTATCCTCAAAGCTTTTGTCAAATCTCCACATGGTTACATTTTTTCTTCTTTTTTCAGTTGTCTTTCTTATTTACAATGAGACTGTTGAGCGTTTGTTGTGCCTTGTTCTGCTTGTTGCACTGGAGGTGTTGCACAGAGTGAGGGCAGAAAGTTGAAATGCTTCTGTACCACTGGAGGAGGTTTCCACAGAGCAGAATCAACATGTGTGTGAAAGTGATACGGCGCCGGGCCACCTCTGTTTAGTCAGTGTGAACAAACAAAGAAGAGCAGTAGCTGCATAATGGAGCCTTTTTTCGCTGTGTGACCCCTGTGGAAAAAGGGTCTTCTTGTGGTGATTTGCTAGCTTTTAAGATATGTTATTGCCAACAAACCTTTAAAACGTGTACGCTGTGTGGCCATCAGGAACATCTCCGCTGTAATTCAGGCCTGAGGTGGTAATGATGGTAATCAATAATACCCCAAACCTTTGAAACAGCACAGGTCTCAAAGCTGGATTACCTGACTATATTTATTCAAATATGCACCTCTTTTTTGTGTTATTTTCTTCTGTAAATAAATCCAATGTAAATTTTTTTATGGGGGATATGTTTTTGTTAAAAATGAACTCTTTAAAACTCGTGTCAGCAGCTATTTAAATCCACAGTACAGGGAAAGCAGATGTGGCTTACACATCATCATGGGGTTATGTTAAAATGATGAAATTAGATAAATTGCAAAAAAATAGGTCTGGAGTGGTGTTGGAATTTTTGGAAAGTGTTTTTCTTTGCAAGTTAGGCAGCAGCCGGACTTTCTTCCAGTAGTTTTCCCAGGGTGTAGGCAGCTGTTGTGGGGTCAGGCATCGGCGGTGCTCCTGAGGAGGCAGACTTTCGTTTAAATGAGTCATATCCAGCTCCTGCCTCACTGAAACTCAAAGGGCATCATGAAAGTTCCAGCTGCTTGTTTTCCCCGCTAAATTTTTTGCTGCCACATAATAATTTGACTGCAGACTCTGAGACGCTGCCTCCGCAGCATAAATAAGTAATGCATGGAAGCTGGAAGAGGTGTGTGGGATCTCACCGGCCAAATGTCCGAACCTGTACTCGGCAAAAGGAAACCCCATCACCCCTCTGAATCAACGTTTGTCCAGAGACTTTGACTGTGCTGCCTCTCATTCCTGCAGGAGTAGAGAATGGAGGTTGTGCACCCATAGCTTACTGTAACGATCTCAGTATGTTTTGCCTTCATTTACTTTTAGCCCAAGCCCATGTTCTTTTATCCAGGGGTTGTTGTATATCACACCTCTGAGGGTTGGTGGGAAGTTTCAGTTTCAAAATGTTCAAATGATTACATGTTCATACTTATATAGATTACACCTTTAGAGCTAAATTCCACCAAATGAATTGAAAAGTGACTTTAAGTCCATTTTATAGCGAAACCCTTTATTTTCATGGGAAAGGAAAGAATATCCAGTAAATATTTATTTTACACAAACAAGCCTTTTTCGGGCGATTCTGGTTTCTTAAGATTCTTTCCTTCTTTCAACGATGTATTACTTAAAGTTCATCATTTGGCATCCTTGCCTTTTTTAGGCTAGGTGGAAGTCACCCAAAATGTTGTGAAATGTTAAATAAATACGACCCAGTTTATTCAGGAATAAACTTCCATCCCTGTTAGTGTTTACTTCCCTCCTCCTCTTATTCTATCCAATTCAATCACAGGAAACTCGAGTGTGTTACAAGAAGTTGACTACCGTCGATCTGTGTGTGTGCACATATTGTCTGGCTGTGTGTGCGCCAGTTGCCTTGTTGAGGTTTCAACAGGATGCCGGCATCCTAATCGGAACCTGATTCCGATATGCATGAGGTTATTTTTAAAACACCGTTTGTGTGCCACATGTTTAGCTATCTATGAACCCTGTCGTTCGCCCTCTTCCTGCATCCAGCTGCTCGAGATCTGCATTTTTACTGAAGTTCAATGGAGGCTGTCACATTTACTGATGTTTTTATTGTTGCGCGTGTAATGGGAGGAATGAGGAAGATTTGTGTGATCTTTGTGCTCAGCTGCACTTCCCAGCATCTTAAATAGTTTTGTACTCTGTAACTATGAGTCACATCTGATGACCTCCTTCCAAATTTGCCATCCCAGTGCCCAAGAGACCAGTGCTTTCCCAATAGATAACCTTTCCCACATACAGGGGACACATTTGTTCTCATTTATATGGCCGGCCGAAAATAATTGAATAGCTCTAACTTTTCACAAAGATTTATTTACCAGGAAGTGGGGGTGGGGGCTTTCGCATGTGTCTCGGAGCTGAATCAAACGCACATAACTAGGATGAATGATCTTCATTGTGCCACAGAGTTTGCCTTTTACCTTTTACAGCCCGGCCTGAACAGTTCCAGCAGTCAAGCTTTAGTGTAATTTATTGCCATGGAGTTGAAAAGAAACAAAGATACAAGGACGGTTTGCGCGGCAGAGCTGAAGGATTTATGGTGGAGAGAAAGTGAGGCAGGAGTTTGGAGGTTCTAAATCCAGATCCACCGCTAATCAGCATTTGACCCAAAAAATTCAGTTTGAAAATCTTTTTTTCCTCATGTTTGCAGGGGAGGTAAAATGTGTTACTGGCTGTGAATTTTCCTTCTCCATCATAATTGTAGTTGGGTGGGGAGGTAATGGCAGACTAAGGCAGCTGACTGTAACGGGGCGATTATGCTGGCAGTGTGTGGGTAGAATAGTTCAGCTTGGAAGGTTTTTACTTCCAGAAAACGTAATTCGGCGTCTGTGTTCTGAGACCAACATCTCATCTTTGTGCATTTAATACATATTTTCATATTGTTATTATGATCAACAGCTTGTCACAGGATGTTTTATTGTGTCTGTAGTCAAACTTTGTCAGACAGGGCCTAAATATGATTTCCCTCTTTCTTTTGTTCCCACTCTTGTTTTTATGACCCGTTAGTCATCAATGCTGGGATGAGGAAGTTCTTCCTGCAGGCCAATGATCAGCAGGACCTTGTGGACTGGGTGGACGCTCTCAATAAAGCCACCAAGATCACGGTGAGACACGCATGACACAAGAAGTACACTTCATCAGCTGTGCTGTACAGTTAATTTTGACTCATATTTTAACATGGAAAAACTTTCATTTCCCCCTCCTCTGCTCAAATTCAATGAGAAAACTGTCAAGGAATTAGACAGGAGTGAGTCAGAGCATGACCAACAGGATGCTGAATTGTTGTACTCATTTCTGGGATAAAGGATTGTTTCCATTGTTCTCCGTGAAGCCTTCGCTATGCAGATAGGAAATGGATATAAAACATGTTGTAGGTCAGGCAGCATCTGCATATTTAGATTCACACACTGCATTTAAACTTTGGAGAAACTTTGTATATTTGTTACCTGCCACTGACTACCACAAAATGTCTTCACGTAAAATGTTTGTGTTTATCTACTTACAAGTGTACTCTTTTTTCCTTTATTCCCAAGGTGCCAAAGTTGTCTGACAGCCAGCAGAACTCAGAAAACCAGAAGGCTTTACCAGATGTCGTAGGGCCCAAAAAACAAGTCTCCTATAAAACAGAAATAATTGGAGGAGTGCCCATTGTTACCCAGACACAGGTAGACATGCACTGACCCACACATTCTGTATGTACATTAGTACACCTCTTATCAGTAACGGGTCCAGGGAAAGTACAGATGATAATATAGGTCATACTGATATGAAATAAGGATTCTGGACTTAAAGTTTCAGTGAAGGGTTAAGGGGTGTGCCACAGAAGCTGCACCCCTCTGAGAAACAGTCTTCTCTCAATGTTCGGCTCCACTGTCCTGACTGGCTCATCCTGCTAGTCAAAATGAGTAAATACAATATGGAAAACTTTTCATTGTAGGTAAACTTATTTTAGTCTAATTAGAGATGACTTTTTAAATTTTCTTTTGGCAATTAAAAAAAGAAATTAAAAAAAGGTAGGCCACATACTGGATCATTGGCATTGATTAGTACATAAGATGATTTAGAAATCTCTAATTAAATGTATGTCTTTACAGTTTTATGAAATCTTCAATTGCTGTGTCCCAAAGGAAGCTCAATATGTAGAAAACATCTCAAAATGATATTATTCCCAGTAGGAAGAATTAGACCTTGGGACTGGATGCATTTTTGGCCGAACCTTTTTTAATCTTTTTTTCTGTGTCAGATGGATTGCTGCTGATGGCTTTTGTCGGTTCGGATACAGACCTTTTAATTGCACCATTTCCTTCCAGCATGAAGGCAGCGATGGTGCAGACAGAGTGGAGCGTGACGCCATGCAGCGCTCTCACAGCCAGCTGCCGTACTTTCTGGGCAGGCCGACTCAGGAGCACACTGTCATCAAGTCAGGCTACTGTGTCAAGCAAGGAGCCGTGGTGAGAGTTCCACACATTCAAGTGTCTTCTGCAGCTCTCCTTCTACGTGTTGTGTCATGAATGAAAACGGAAGCAGAGGAGGAGGTTGACCTTCGTCCATCATTGATATTTCTCTGAGCCAGTAAGAGAGGCAAAATGGGTCCGACCTGCCTTAAGGCCGATGAGTGGTTTGTTATTCGGCCACTTCTGTCACACCGGTTCGATGTGTCAGGAGAGACCGGTGAGGGGTTGACCCTCTGTGGTTTATTTGCCCGCTATGAGAAGGAACATGATTAAGGATTCAATTTCGCAACTGGCACACCTTCTGTTTTCCATCTTTGTTTAGCTGGTTTACATATTCCAGTTGTTGGTACTGGGCTTCTACCTGAAAAATCCACTCAGTTCAGCTGAAATATAGCACCTCATTATGGCCGGTAGCAAAGTTAGATTAATAGTAATTAGTTTATAATAAGGAGAAGAACTGTCTAGCTTCTGTGAAGTTAAAGCCTTTTTTAATTGTGTTTAAATTTTGACTTAAAAACAAAACTAGTTGTTCAAAGTAATATGAGTGGTCCAATGTGCAAAGTTCAGATTTTCCCATATTTCAAAGGATGGTGTGAAAACAATTTATAGAGATGTTATGAATTCTGTCTCCATCACAGCAACAAATTGGCTACTGTAACTCATCTTATTATTGCTGGAAACTACACAAAAGGTCTTTAACATCTTCTCCTCTTTTTCCCCAGATGAGGAACTGGAAGCGGCGTTATTTCCTGCTGGAAGAAAACTCTATGAGTTACTTCAAGTCCGATTTGGTAATTAAACAATAAATATATGAATTAATTTTTATTGATTAATGAAAAATGTGAATTTAATTCCACCGAACAGTCTAATGGAGAGCAATGGCGCTCACAGTATCAAGTTCCAGCTTATTTCATCTGCCGTCTGTGGAATTCACTCCCTTAACCCAACGTGTCCCTTCATGCCCTACTCCCCCCAGCACACATACACACTGTCTTCAGGGCAACACAGCACATCCCATACCCTGTTCTTGTCAGGGTATGCCCCTATTTGCCTATTCTATCTGTGTATTTGCCCTCAACATGCCCCAAGGACACACACGTCTGCTGGGTCAAGAAAAGTAACAGCTGTCTGCTACTTCCAGGGATGGTCCCGTTTCCCTCTCTATCTGAAACAGGAAGCAAGTGTATCTGGGAAAAAATGCCTTTAAATAATTATATTTAGCTTCTGTTACGAGCTGCATTTTCTTGCCTTTAGGAGAAAGAGCCTCTGAGAATGATCCCACTAAAAGAAGTTCACAAAGTCCAGGAGTGCAAACAGAGGTATTCCAACATGTCCAGACATTTTCCCATAATACAAAAATGTCTTTGTCTGTCGAAGGTAGATTTAGATAAGTTATACACGAGATAAGTATGATTCAACTTGTTTTCTGCTTTTTTTGTAGTGACATTATGATGAGAGATAATCTGTTTGAAGTCGTCACCACATCAAGAACATTTTACATACAGGTATGTTTCCTATCATGGCAGGAATGAAGCTCTTCCTCATTCTCCCCAGAGCTCTGTCTGATGTTGCAACATGTCAACATGTCTGAGCTTTCTATCTCTGAACTACCCGCTGTCTTCCCCTCCCATCATTTTCTCCTTTTTTGTTTCTACTGCCCCTTTCTGTTCTTGCTGTCATTGTTTTTTTTTTGTGCCTCCTCTAGGCGGACAGTCCAGAGGAGATGCACAGCTGGATCAAGGCTGTTTCAGGGGCCATTGTGGCCCAGCGGGGGCCCGGGAGGTCTGCTGCTACAGTATGTATCTTGCATGACAGCATGGCCCCAGATGGATCACAGTTATCACAAACAGAGCTTGTGATATGTGGAGCGACATCTAGTGGCAGAACCATGAAATGTTGATGGCACGTTTCTTTTATTTGTGTTGTTTTGCTCAAGTCATTTCTTAGGTCATTACTGTTCCTTCCTCTCTCAGGCGATCAGTTAGCTTCAGGGAATCATGTTCACATCTCAGGTAAATGAAAAGCATCAGAACTTAGGTTATAACTTAGGTATCTGGTCATCTTTTTGTTCTGGAGGGATTTTGCCATGACTCCCTTCTCTCATTGTTTTAAAGTATTTGGCTTGCTGCAGTCCAAAAAAAAAGAAAGTTTGTGCGCTTATATATGTGGGTTACACCAGTGATTCCTGATCTATTCACTGGAACAAGGCTGTGGGACGTGTGCTTCCTGGCAGCACAACAACTCAGAACGAATAAGCTTTGTGTAAATTTTCATGTGATTTATAAGACGGATTTTGTCATTTTTGCCTTGAACTTAGATCAACTTTTTCTGTGTCTTCCTCATCTCACCACATCACCTGTGAAACACAGATTCTATCACTCTGCTCTTGGATATCTCATTTATATTCAGCAATCGACAGAAGATAGATGTCGGCTAAGAGGAGGGAGAGCGTGTGGAGTAACCTTAGATCTTTTGTGGGAGACTATCACTCTCCAACCCACACCAGTAAATGACACTATATGAATTTTGATTGCTTCATCAGCAGACTACATTCAGAAAAACCAAAGAATCAAGCCTTGAAGGAGACAGGAGCTGTGATCTACTTCCTCAGTCCTTGCTGCAGATGGGAACTCAGGCCTCTGCCTAGTTGGGATCATTCTCTGCACAGCATCTGTCTCTACGTGTCCTTCTCCGGCCTCCTTAGCCCCTCTGACTTCCCTGGTCGTTTTCTCTGATGCCGTTTCTCTCTGTTCTGTCTTTTCTTCTTTTCTCACTTCCTCCTCACCTACTATTCTCCCGATGGAAAACAGCCCATCTGCTCTAATCCTGCTTTGCGCTGTGTTGTTGCAGATGCGGCAGGCCAGACGGCTGTCGAACCCTTGTATACAGAGGTATACATCCCGAATCGGGGAGTGCAGCAGCACGTATGTCAGCTCGTCTAAATCCCCCTTACAAACTATAAGTTCACCTTTTCAGTACTTTTTTTCCCCTCTCACTGGCTGGCCCTTTCGGTTATAGACATTATGAGAGCAGGTCAGACATGACTTCACATCTGATGCTCTTTAATTTTTATTTTTTTTCGTTATTTATTTCCTTTTTTTTTCCTATGTAGCAGCCACATCCCAAGTCTGGCATTGATAACCCAACAGGCCCTTTTACCTTCATGCCCTCATCCTCGCTGCTTCTCCTGTTTACCTGCCCTAGTTTGCTTTTCTTTTGCTGAACAGTCACACAAAGCCCATCTTAAAGGTCAGATCCATCGTTTTCAAATTCCCAACTTAACAGATCTTATACCAGGAGCAGGATTCCCCTAAACACCATAAGGTGTGTGCACAGTTCTAACATAACAGGACACATGATACCAAACAGCACGTCAAGCCGAGAACAAATATGGACTAAACGCAACCCCAAAATGCTCCAACTTTATACAAAAAGACACAGCTAGATGAATCTGGATGTAAGTTTGGTTAATTTTTTCGGAAGGGGGTTATTCTTATGTATTAGTGCTTTCCTTCAGCATTCTCCAGACTTAGTCATGAATTTGAAAGCTAATGATGTGCTTCTCTTGCATATGTTAGCTGTCTCTACTGGTATGACGATTCAAACCAAGCAAAAGGAATAAGATTTGTGCCGGAATACAAGATGGTTGTGAACATTTGAAATATGACCATCTCAGCCTGCATTCCCTCCACCTGTTTGCTCTCCTTCCACCTGTCCTCCCCATTAGTGACGATGTCTAAGTGCAAACATACATGTGAAGTCCATCCATAAGCATAAAGCAAACTGACTGCATGCTCTATCCAACCAGCTTAGCAACAAATACTTTACTGTTTCTACCTTTTGTCTTTTTTACCGTCATTCACACCTTCTGTTTCTCTTCCCTTTCGTGCCCTCTTCTCTCTGCAGTCTGCTGCAGCTGTGCACCTGTCTTAGATGTGTGACATCCTGCTTGTCTCTCCTCTTCCCTCCTGTTCGCTGCCTGTATGTTTTCTTTCCTCTCTCTCATTTACACGATAAGAGGATACTTGTTTCTGAGTCCCTATACATTGTGTTAATTTTTACAACTTTATTATGCGCTCGCTTTTGCTGAATCCACACGCCCAGAGCCAATAACAATGGGTTTTATGGAGTTTAGTAAGCAAAGGGAAAATGGCACATGGTCTGCTTTATGTGATATTCATTAATCAGAACTGTCGACACTTGCCCCCAAGATTGTGTACAAGATTATGTTGAAACTGTCCTAAATGTCTCCTGAAGTTTAACCTGAGCTCCATTTTTGGTCGTTTGGATTTATCATGCGTAATGCACCTTTTGATGTACATGTTGTTCATATTCTGGTTTTTAGAGTCATATTCCTAAAGCTTCTGGGGCTTAAACGGTGATTTAAGTGATCAGAAGTTGAACAACCCCGCTAAGTGACGCTGTGCTACTGTGTAGCTTTAGCATCTGTGTGTTTGGAATAACAGAGCTTTAAGGTGGCTGAGGCCCGCACCGCGGTGTCCGGGGCTTTGCAGCTGCCATGTTTGTCTAACCAAGACTTCGCCAGTTGCTCTGTGCCTCCTCGTCCTTTGCTTTCACTGTCTCTGCTGTGAGCTGTTCTTTCTTCTTCTGCCTCTTTTTTTTCCAGAGATTGAAATCTGACAATGAAAAGCTGTGAAATAATAGGCAACAACCACTGCTTCCAAAGGCACTCTGTGAACTTCCTGTGACTACCAAAACTAAAACCCGCTGACACCAATATTCCTGCTACCTGTACTTCTACCACTACTCCTCCTACTACTACCACCATCCCCACTGTCTAGCAATGCTTCATTCTTCAGCTTCTACAACCTTCAGGCTGCATGAGGCTCCACATGTTGGTGCTAATTCCAAGTCTGTAACTGACTTTCTTCCTTAAACTGGCCCCCACCCGGATTCGACATTTGTGGCTAACAGCAGCTTGTGTCCCCCTCATTCTCGCCCTCTCTGTGTCTCCCCGCTGTCTCTGCTGTAGGACCACGGCAGCCGCTCCACTTTCTACCGCAGCCCCGCGGGTCCCCCCGTCCCTCGCTCGCCCATATCTGCCATGCCACCATGCTACCCAGAGTGGGGCGCTGCTGTCACGTGCGGCCCACGCCCGCAGCCTGGCGTGGGACAGCGAGCACTTCATGAGCCTGCTGCCACGCCCCAGTCGCAGCCACACGCCAGTCCGCCTGTCCCTGCAGGAGACCCGGCTGGCAAAGTGAGCCGCCAGCCCCCCGCCACGCCCGCCACTAACTCTGAGGAGTCGCCGTGGCGACGGCGGAGCAGCTTTGAGCCCCACATGCCCGAAACCCCCATGGACCTAGATGACGCTGATCTACCAGTGAGCGAGGTCTGACCCGCTCAGCTGGACTTCCAAGCTTTTTTCCCCCCGGAAGGATAAAGAGGAAACTCTGTGATCTGGAGTTTTCATTTTCTAAACAAATCTCTTATCACGCTCATCTTTGGAGTTCCTCCGTCTGAGTGCAAGAGAAACAAGTTGGGTCACCTCTGAACTGCACTCGTGTGCCAAAGACAACCCAGACTTCCCCCTCACCACTCCGCCTGCCTGCTGTCGCAGTTAGAATGACACGGTTAGTTACTAAGTGTTGATGTTGTCAAAGCAAAACGACATATTTTACTTAACTTCAGAACAGCAGAGCTGTATTTTAACATGTATGGGCACAGTGATTTTTGTAAGCCACTTTGTGCCAGGACAAAAAGGGATGTGAGCTAAAACCTGAATAATCAACCAATACTAGACCAGGTGGTCGTTTCATTATTGTAACACTGGATAAAACAGCGAGAATAAGATTTACAGACTAAATGTTTTGCTGCCACATATATCCCATTTTTCTAAAACTACTTCTACTTTATTATTATTTCCTTTATTTCTTGGAGGGTTTAATATCATTTGCGGTCTCGGTTAACTACCACTCACATGTAACGTTACCACGAATAGTTGTTGGAGTCGACCCGTCTCGGGTTGTGTAGTGAGAGGACAGCGGGAGCACACGCGTCACCTCCCAACGTGCTCCGGCTCTCCTCAAACTACATTTCAAGGGATGCTTTGTTGACTCTTGTTCTTTTGGCAGCAGGATTTCAAGTAAACAAGACAAATACAAGGGGTGTACTTCTATGCATTTTATGATTTCTGAAAAACACGACAACAGGCAGTCAGCCGCCGATCGGCCTGACACACTGAAGCTGGTTAGGTATGGACACAACCATTAGTCACTTCCTTTGCATGCTAACATTTATTGACTCTTCAGGTGGTTCTTCTGTTTTTAGATTATTTTTTATTATCGTTATTATTATTATCTACAGATGTTCTGGATGTTGTGAGTTTGCAGAGTAGAAGCAGGTTTATTTTTCTGCTTATAAACCTGTCCTGTTATTTGGAATTTGTGTTGTCAGTTCAATTCTTGGCAGCTGCCTCGTTGTATAATCTAAAAGTGACCCATTTTCAAGCCTGCTAAATAATACACACTAATCTGTTTTTGTTTAAAGTGCCTGTCTTATTTCAGTCTGAGAAAATCAATCTATTTCACTCCCTTTCCAGTCTGGTGTAATTGGTTTGAATTGTCTATTTATTATGTCGATGACTTGAAAGAAATAAACAGAGAAAATGTGTTAAGGGGTCAGAGTTGTGCTTAACGCTGTCAAAACAACACAACACACAACACTACAGCATTTGAAGCATTACGGGACTGTTTGCAGGAACTGATCAAATCCTCCTCTGCCCTCTTGTGGAGAGGAAACTCATTTTTTGTGTCAAACTCTTGTTGAGATGCTCTTGTGCTCTGTAAGCTGGATACTGTGTGGTGTGAAACCATGTAAAAGTAACAGAACAGATTATGAAACTACTCCTGAAAATCAAGCTCTCTCCTAAGTCTCAGTAGGTTCAAAATGAACTATCACCTGACTTAAACCACATCCCAGTAAATTCACTTTTCTTAAAAAAAGTCTGAACAATGGATGATCATTTCTGCACATTTGAAGTAAAAGCAGCAGTCTGAGAAGTTAAACAGGCAGACATGTCTGACTGTTGGAGTTTGAGCATATCATTTAACATGTCCCCTTTGTAGCACTGCACCATGTTTGAGAGCCAGATCTTAATCTACAACGACAGGAGAAGATTGACAGGATATGTTTTCCATCGGAAATCGTTAACGTAATGTACAATTATCTTGCTCTGAAAACTTTCTCACAGTTTACGCTGCGCATTCTACCACACATAATGCAAACAACTCTGTTATTTTTTGCTCGAGCGTCATTCATCATCTCATGATGAGGTTTTCCTTTGGCCTGACGCAGTATGTACGATTGGACATGAATGAATATTCAAAGCTTTAATCGGTGGGATGACAATGATTGGAACACTCTGGGATTCTGCTTACTGGGCGCTACAGAGCTGAGGAGGACTGTGAAGCTGCTTGGAAAAAGATGGTGTACGGCAGGAATTTTCCTCGCGCTCTCAGCGCGTTATTGGAAGCTGCGAGACACCCGTGTGGTTTCAGACACTGAGCGGGAGTCCGTCTCGAGTCCTTCAAGAGTTCCATTCACAGCTGAGGAGATTGCAGAGCGGAGAGGCGAGATCACACAGACCTCAGCGGCGTCCATCCTCAGCTGTGTTACTGCCTCTGGTTTGAGAATGGGTGTTCCTTATACATGAGGTTGTTTTCATCTGCAGATTTTCCCACCGGTTCTCCCCAGTGTAATCTTACAAAAACACATTCTTGATACTTAGAGGACTTTTGTAATGCTGTGAATTTCATTCATTTTTACATCAGTCAATGTGTTTTGTTGTATACTGGTGCTAGGAAGTTAACTTTTGTCCTATGTCGCCCTCTCATTTAGGTAAGAATAAAGAACCAGAACTGTTTTCTGTGCTGGCCTCCATCTTTTTATACCCCTGTCTAATTGCATTTTAGATACAGAATCTTGTGTTACCATGGCCTCTGGCCCACCACAGGGGGCCTCGTCCCTCCAGAACTTCTCCTCCGTCCCTCCTTCAGGGGCCATTCAAACAACCCTGTGCTCACAATCAATCCCGTTGTGTTGAGCCTTTTTATGACGCCGGTTTACTGCTGCAGAGTTTATTACTCATGCAGTTTACCACAGACATCTATATCCAACAGAGGTCTGTTGTTCTCCGGCAGCTTCGTTTTTACATTCAAATGTGTGTCGCTGCATCCGAAGACTAGGAAATAAAATAAGAAGGGATCAGATTTCCGGGTTGATTCATTAGTTTGTCAAAGAATGTAGCACAAATTGTTATTGATGTCTCTTAAAAAGTGCTGCCTAACTAAGCAAGAAAAAAAAAAATCTGGCATGAATGTGCAACATTAATTCCCACAAATCCCACAATCCTCCCAACCTTTTTCCACCCCTAATTTTTTCTAATTAACCATAAGCCTTGTGTTGAAGCCAGTAGTGACTAATTTATGAGGCAGTAGTAAAACAAAAAAACAAATAAAACTGTAAGGAAACAGGCCTGCGGGGCGCGTGGAGTGGAAGACAGAGCAGCTTTTAAGACACATGGGAAGCATAACTTTAAAAAAAGTTTTGTTTTCCCTTCTCTTCTTTTTGTTTGGACGTTTTTAAATCAAATCCACGATCAGCAAACCAAACCTGGACATGGCCTTAACGTGCCTGGGCTTTTACCTGAGGCTCCACGCGCTCCAGGGGGTCCAAACGATACTTTGACATCAGGGGAGCAAAGCAGAAGAGTGCTCACTGACAGCGTCATGTGTGCCAGTAGGCTGTCCCTCCACTCACATCCCCTCCCTCTGCTCCCCCCACGCTGTCCTGATTTCCTCCTCACGCTTCTGGAGAGGCATCAATCAACTCAGCCCCTTGTTCAATGCGTCACGTGGAACGCGCCAATCACCGGGCTCGTCCACAAAAACCCAGAGCCGTCTGCCTGATGCGCTGCCAGCAGAAACGTAGAGTCGCGTAATTGGCTGCGCGGAGGTTCTGCGAAATGCCTCTCCGGCTGAAATGACTCCCCCCGCTGCACTGAACTCTCTCATCCCGCACCACTGCAAGTAGAGAGCGAACTTTTGTCACTCTTTTTAAGTTTGCAAGTTTTTTTTAACTCCCCCTTTCTTTTTTAAAAGTTGTGAACATGTTTGGCCCACTGCTGTTGTGCGTAATGGTTGCCTTCGCGTCGATGCCCGCGGGTGCGCAAGTCTCCAGCAGGTATGTCGTCGGCTGTCCATCTCGGTGTGACAAGTCGATGTGTCCGCGTTTGCCCACGGACTGCCCGGCGGGACAGGCCCTCGACGCCTGCCACTGCTGCCCGGCGTGCGCGTCCGGGGAGGGGGAGGCCTGCGGGGGCAGCGGGAAGCTCGGGGACCCGGTGTGCGGCGAGGGGCTGGAGTGCTCGGTCCCCGGCGGGGTGGCGTACACCGCCACGGTGAGGAGACGGAGCAAGACCGGGGTCTGCGTGTGCAAATCCACCGATCCGGTTTGCGGCAGCGACGGGGTGTCCTACCGGAATATCTGCGAGCTGAAGAGGGTGAGCCGGCGGGCGCAGAAGCTGCAGCAGCCACCTGTCCTCTTCATTCAGCGGGGAGCCTGCGGGAAAGGTAACGCTCAGCTTGTTTTGACCAACACCTGCCTGAGGACTTTGCTCAGAGGTGGTGGTGGTGGGTTAGATTGTTGTCACTCGTGTTTTTTTTTTTAAATACCTTCTGTTTGGATAAACTGGAATGAATCTGTCATCATATACTAGAAGTCTTAGAAATCCAACTTTAGCACATAGATGGACTTTCTTTAATTCCACCTTCAGCAGGCCTTAAAGTGGATTCCTCAGCCCTCACAGCACTATTGTGGTCTAAAGTTTACACAGATGTGGCAGCTTTATGCTGCATTCTGTGGTACACAATTGTCTTGTGTCTTTGACAACAAGAGACACCATTGAAGTGGGCTTCTATCTTTTTTTTTTTCTGCATTACAATGAGCTCTGATCAGGGGACTTTTCCTTTTTTTTTTTTTTTTTTTTTCTTTCTTTGCCAGGCTGAAAGAAGCCATGAGTTGCACCAATGATGTAAAGCTCCATGTGAGCTTTGGGATTAGCTCTGGCATGCACAACCAGTAGTCATGTGACTATAAACCGTTTGATTATTTTATAGTGCGGGGAAGTGTGTGTTGGCTGAGCCTAAAGGGAAGTTTGCACCATAATGTAGCTTTCTATTTAATGATACTGATTTGATCACTGATATATGTGAGTCTTTAAGCTTGGACCTGGACTCTGTCAAAGCGTTATTTGATAAGCCCTAATCAGAGCAGCTCTTATATAAACTGACATCATTGTTCACTTGCTGCCAAATGAAAATACACACTGTACTGTTTCACATGTGGCTCATTTGTCATCAGCAGAGTGGCGTGTGTGTGTATATGTAAGTCATGAAATCACACTGAAAAGGGATTACGTACTTGCACATATGTGAGGCTGCAGATTGTGGATATATTTCATATGATGTCTGGACGTGGGCACATGCGCATTTGGAAAACTTCTGAATGGACGGCCTCAACACCTGTCGCCTCAAAGACCTTTAAATTAGCTCAAGGCCTGGAAACTTACTGTATTTCCCCATAACAACCCCCCGACTGCTTCCTCTCCTCTCTTTTTCGCTCTCTCCATTTCTGTGTTTCTCTTGTCACTCATAAATCACACTTTACAGTCACATGGAGGAATTTCTGGCTCCGATTCAAAGCCACAATTCCACCCCTGTTGAAGAGGATTTGAAATGAGCAGGAGACACGGAGGAAAACGCTAAATAAGCCGGCCGTATCCTTGGGAAAAATGTACTTGTACATCAAAACCACAGGGTGCAGTGTTGGAGCGGACCGTGTCGCCACTTTTGTTTCTCTGTCCTCTTTGAAACCTAAATGGTTAAGTCTCCCCCAGCCAGCCATGACTGAAGCAGACTGCGGTGAGTGCCACTGATTTTTTTCCAAGGCACCCGGTGAAAATTTCCCGACCTGCAATAAAGCGAGTCATATTTCAGCTGGTACTTCAGACGTGTTTCTGTCCAAAGCATTCCTGAAAAATGCATCTGTTTTCCTTTTTGTGCTGTCTGCCTTGATGGAGCGCTTTGATCAAGGCTGCACATTAAGGATTTCGGGAGATGACAGCAAAAAGAAACTTAAACCCCCCCCCTCTGAGGACACTGAACTACCCTGCAACGTGGCCCCATTTTTTAAGAAAACATATGCAAGTACAGTTGCATGATCTCATTTTTGTGTCTGGACAGCAAAAAGCGTTGATTAAACAAGTGCTTTGCGTTAGCAACATAATGTAGGTCAGAATACTGCTGTGACCCTGGGGTTTTGGTTCATATGTGTTTAAAAATGACCCACTTAGTCAGAAACACTTAGTCATAAAAGTATGATGAAAGTCTCTCTTGATGGAAAGACAATTGACCCAAAAAGTTTCACATATAAATGGCACATGTTTCTACAATGCCTCCCAATTTTTTTTTTTAAATTTCTATTCTCAAGTGTTTTTAAGAAAAACTGAGTTAATCAAAGATGAATCTGAAGTTGTGAGCGTAGAGATGACGTGCGCCTCACTTTTGTAATAATCGGGGGCTTTAGACCAACTGTAACCAAAATAGTCTGGAGCTACCAGGCCCGTACCACTCTTGATTTCACTGGAGGCTGATGTTGCAGAATGCACTCTGTGACTCCGGCTGCTGAGATCTGCTGGATGTGCACATTCCTCATGAACTTGTCTAAGCCACATATGATATTAAAGCATCATTTTTCGTACATGCGTCTGCCTTTTTCTGTGTCTGCTCCTGTTGGTCTGTTTCCCTCATCTATTTTCTTTCCTGTTCTCGATGACTGGACAGGCTCTTCCTCTTTTTCCTCAAGCGCATATGCTGCAGTTCCCTACCTAAACTACTCCTGGTGAGGAAGGATATTCAGAATTAAGTTTAAACAAGTGTGGCCCAGATAAATAATTGAATTGACTTAATAAATTTAAAAACAGTGGAAGTGAGTCACATTCTGTATGTTGATTTGTCAATTTTTTCCAGTTTAAATGTCTTATCTGGACTGGCAGTACTGTGGAGGTCCTTAAAATCACTGAGTACTTTCCATTGTCCAAGCTGATTAGCTTCACACTTTCTATGTGGGGCAGTATGGTCTTGTGGTTGGTTGTATCCACTGCCCAGCTGGACTTTTTTTTTTATGGAGTTTGCATGTGTCACTTGCAGTCTGGACAGACACCCTGAGTGAAATTGTGGTTCTAATTTTGCCATCATGGCAAGCATGACAGTTTGTCTGAGCCCTGTCACAGATTGGTCTGTTTGGGCCGAGCTGTGCTCCTCACTCTGTGCCAGCTGGAAGAGGCTCCAGCCTCCCTGCAACTCTCCACAGGATAAAACAGGTGGCTGACGGATAGATTTTGTTTTCCCCTTTACATTTTCCACTGAGGTCAAGGAAAAGCCTGGCGAAATCTGCGAAATATGTCATTGTTTTTAATAACTTCCCCACTATGTAAACACAAGATGGAGGTAGGGTAATTGGGTACAGGTGGAACCAATTAGGGCGAGGCGGTTAATTAGAGACAGGAAGTGAATAGATTAAAAAATGAGACACTTTCAAAAGTAAACAAGAAATAATGACCATGATCTGACAACAAGAAAAACACAATCTGGAGTGTGAGGTGTTTTCTGGAAGATGCCCCGTTCAGTTCCAGTTTTATAGTTTTGGGTCTTCATCCATACTGTGGTATCATTTGAATTTGGTTCTAGTTGCTGGAAAACAAAAAACTTTTTGCCATATTTACCTCAACTGGTGGGCCTCCTATTTTGCTTTTTTTCCCTTGTCTGCCATTGTGTCATTGTAATGATAAAACTCCAGTAGTTATTAAACTGGCTGAAAGTTAGTTTGAGACGGTCCACGCACAACCGTTGCTGTGCTTTCACTTATTCTTAAAGCTCTGTGTATGTCTCGGAGGCCTGCTGTATTCTGCTTTTCCCTTGAATCTCCGGGACGTTTTTTGAGCAAGAAAAAAGCTGCCACAGTCTGCAGGCAGCAATAAAACGGTGAGAGCTGTGTATGAGAAAACGGGGGAAGAAAACAGACTAAGAGTTTGAGCCGGGACCCCTGCGGTAAGGCAGACTTGGGAGGGGTAATGGATAAGGGATGGTGAGGATGGTGAAGCTTTGTGTAAATGTGAAAAAAATAATCTTCTTTCTGAAGGGTTTAATGGTTTCCATACATTTGGTACTTGAACCAGCTCCAGAAACATCTTTCAGGCATCTGGTTGTTAATAGGTGCTTAACTTTATTTTCTTCTTTTATTAGGAGTTACCAGACTTCTCAGTATGCCTTCCATATGGAGGAAATCTTTATTTTATTAGGTCACAACAACCCAAAGCAAACCATTCTTGTTTTATAGGTTTATGTTAGCTACAGATAACTTGTTTCCAAAGATCTCAACTTTGACCCATTCAGCTCCTGCTTATGCATTTGTTAGTTAGAGAATGCAGTTTTTGTTTTTTTTGCAGTTTGGGGACTGTCTGGTGCCCACTGAGTCACAACAGATGCCAGGTCTGGGCTATTTGTATAAAGCAAGTCCAACTCGAACTCAGTTGGAATCAAATTTGATCTAATATAATCTAAAATAGGATTCAACATCCAATCTAGAATAAAAGACTTTCATCCCATCTATAAATCACAGCTGAGTCTTTTAGCTTCACAAGTACAGTCACGCTTAACATTAGTGTTTCCAGTTTATGCATTAAGAGTGTCAGACTGGAATGAATGGCGCTAAACTTTCATGAAGGCAAGCCTGACGTTTTCTAAATGACACCTATACTCTATGAGCTCTATCTTGTAGTCTTTGGGTGCTTTCTAGGAATCTATTAAACAAACTTTAGGGTTACAGCATTTTTAGCAGCTTGATGAAGGAATAATTGGGGAAATGATACAAATGCTTTAAATCCTCGCTGTTTCCCATCACATCAGCGTTGAGTGTTCAGAGACTCCTCTGATTCCTGAACCCCCCCCCCAAATATCACCAAGCTGTCACCACTGGGCCCACTGGCTTTGCACTGGTGTGGTGCGTCCCCTGAAGGAGAGGCCCCCCTCCCTGTAACATGGTGAGGTAGAAATGACTGGGAGGCTATGCGGCTGATCCAGAAACAACACTGGTTCTGGATACCGGCCTGCTCTCTGAGCAGTAATCCTATCAGAGACGACCACGACGCTCCCGGGTGTGAAGCTTGGCCCGGGGAAAATAGCTCCAGCGTTTCCATTGCTTTACTTTCAAACCGTGGCAAGACGGCTGCATGGCATTTATCTCACGTTCTACTTTAACGTAATACTCCTGACTTTTTGCATCATGTTGAGCCTCACATTTGTGTCTTTTTCAAGCAAAATATCTCAGCAGCTGCCTTCTAGATTATCATTGATATTATTTTCTGACTGTTGAGTGCAATCTGGTTATCATGTGATGGCAGAATTTCCCCCCTGTGGGTTGTCAAATGTTTTCTTACTGTATAATTTAGTGGTGCTCCTTATGGCAAGATGGTTCTCATTCCATGCTTGTGTTAGCTTAACTGCACCTCAAGCGGAAAGTCTCTTCATTCCCCAGCCCATGAAAGCAATTATAGATGTCCCAGGGCTTTTGGGTGCCTTTGACTCGTGCAGAGATTATTTTTTAAGAGAAAGTAGTGACTAGAAATGGTTCTAGTGGGATAAAATGGTTCTAGGTATATGGCAAAGTAAGGATTTGCTAATTGAGGGATGAAAAGCACAGAGGGATAGGACTTACGATTCTCACTTCAAAGCTTCGTTTGAACCTTGATCTTAGGAGGGCTTAATTATCAGGTAGATCACCCAACAATTACTAACTTACTAGTCCCAGATGGGAGATCCAGTTAATTTGGCTCTCTTCTTTCATGCTGGGGGTGTATGTGTGAACATAGGTGGTATTAATAACTTCTTGTATATTTTCAACGGTTGGGTAAGATATGGTTATTTTTTAGGTATTCATTGTAATGTTTATGGATAGAGCTTGCAAATGACCACGTGTGCAGGAGCTGACCTAAACTGTCTGAACCACAGATGATATGTCATCTTTTCATTTCCCCTAGTTTGTTATGAAAAAGAGCACTTTGTCAGTTTTCTGTCCCCACGCAGTCATGACATCATGCGGTGTTTCAGTGCAACTTTATTTCAGATTTTCTTTCTTTTTTTTTGTGTGTCATCCTAAATGTGTGTGTGCTGTATTTCCAGCTCAGGACAATCCAGACAGTCCGAGGCACAAGTACAACTTCATCGCCGACGTGGTGGAGAGAATTGCACCGTCTGTGGTTCACATTGAACTTTTCCGCAAGTATGTACAGCCCCAACAGCTGCTCGTCTGTGTGTGTGTGTGTGTGTGTGTGTGTGTGTGTGTGTGTGTGGGTTACAAACTGAAACACATGAGGATTTACAGCCCACCTGTGTGCTTAACAAGACTGCGGCAGCTGGTTGATCTCCATACTCATTCCGTTTCATCGTTTCACAAGATTCTTAACTTTCTCATCTTCATCTCGAGACACCTACCTTTTTTCATCTGTGATCTGCCTTTCATCATTGTTTTTAAAGTCTGCTGCTCTGAGTTCCGATTCCCCTCCTCACTTAGATCTTTTATTATTGATCTCATATTCGTAAAACCTCTTCAAACTCTCGTGTGGAAAGTTTGGAACTGACACGTCCGATTCAACATGTTGGTTTGTTTTCTAGAAGAGGAAACTTGTTGAAAGGGAGTCTGCTCTTTTTTTCCTTTCACTATCCTCCTCTGTGTCTCCACAGGATGACTTATTCCAAGCGCGAGGTGGCTGTGGCCAGTGGTTCTGGTTTCGTTGTGTCAGAGGACGGCCAGATTGTGACCAATGCCCATGTTGTGGCCAATAAACACCGGGTTAAAGTGGAGCTGAAGAGCGGGGCCTCCTACGACGCCAAAATCAAAGACGTGGATGAGAAGTCGGACATCGCTCTCATCAAGATTGATGCACCGGTTAGTTCAGTAGATACCCAGCAGTGAGCCCCTCCCTGCTGTTGCTCTTTTGTTGTTTGTACATCTGCTTGATATATTGTTAATTATACCGGACAAGTCCTGTACAACCGTCTTGGACACATTTGAAAGCTGTTGTTAAACAGGGAAAAGAACGTTTGAACATTTATAGTTCTGCATTTATCAGATGCTTTTATCCCAAAAAACTGACAAGGGTACAGGAAAATTAAATACATTTTAGATATCAGTTTACAATAAACATTTATGATATCGAGTGTCTCCCAGGGGTGGAGGGCAGGTCCTCAGGCCAGATAAACGCAGCTTGAGCTAGGACAAGAAACAAGAAAATGGGGGCGAGGTTGATAAGAGAAGAAAGTGAAAGATACTTTTGCTTTTGGAAGAGTAAAGAGCTTCTTAAAGGAGAGGATTGGGAGGAGCTGTTGGTAGATTTTATTAACCAGGGAGGAGAACAGTCTGTTCTGGGGTGGTGGGGCTGACAACACCAGGCGATGATCCTAGGATGAACGAAGGAGCCGAGGGAGATCCCGGGTTTGTATGAGAGTGTTGAGGTAGGTCGGATTTGAAACCTGAAAAATAGTCCCAGGCCCTGGAGCACATTTTTACACCAACGCTCAAATGTGATCAGCTTAATCAAAGGCAGGGATAACTTAAGGCTATATTTGAGCCTTTTTTCTCTTTACTGACTTTTCTGGCTTCAAACACAAATAACTTAATTTAGGCGTGTTGAGCCACATACTTTAGAGTAGATCAAGCAGAAACATATATATATATATATAAAAAAAGCCCTGTATTGAAAAAAATAAATGTTTCTGAAGTTTTATAGGCTAATAATTTCCCCAACCCCAGGGTTAGAACAGGACATGCTGGCAAGTTTACACACAAATGTTTTGGGTTGCAGAGGTTTATGAATCAATTTGAACTAGAATGTTTCTAAGACTTTAAAAAAATGTGTTTTACAGCCCATAAAATGAAAAAGATTAGTACACCACCTTTAGCTAATCTGGTTTTTCAAAATCTGATGTTTGGAGGGTTGAATTTGGGTGTGAAAGCAATCAAAGAGTCCAACAGACACCTAAAGTGAGGCTGCAGGTGCAGCCAGATGTGTTTTGTTAAAAAAAAAAGCCATCTGGCTGACAGAAAGTCCAAAACCTGTCAGTGTCCAGACATAAGCTGCAGACATCTGAATGATATGACACAACCTCTCTTCTAAGAAACTGACTGAGACAAGTAGACTGTCTTTGTGTTTAAAGAAAAGCACTCCACAGCTCCACGGCACATCTGCTTGTCATATTTTCTCACACACCGCTGTCTGTCTTGACAAGTGGGATCCAAGTTGCATGTTAATCACTGCCAGTTATGTGGAGCAGTGTGCAGCAGAGAGCCTCTTAACCCGGTGACGTAGCAGAGCTGAGTGCATTATGGAGCCCGCTCTCATGGCTGGGTGACGCGGCTGAAAAGATGATCATGACTGCAACACAAGGTGTTTTACAAAGACTTCCGATTCTGAAAGGGCACCAAGCATTCTGGTTTTGTTCGGCCAACAATGTGAGCAAAAGCTGCAGAAAAGAGCAGTGACAGAGGCTTTGTGTTTGCTCATCCTTTGGTAAAAGCTGTTCCGCCCGCTGATGACAGACTGGTGGCCATTCCGGGGGCTTTCCGGTTCGTCTGCAACACATGCTCAGTGTGTGCTGGCTGAGCAGACTCGGGAGTGAGTGACATTCTATGATTTGGCCGAGAAAAAAATAGCTGTTTGTTAAGGGGCAGTCATTGCGCACACTTCCTCATTTCCACTTTCTTTATAGAATATAAGTCAAACAAACAAAATCCTGGAATATCACTGAAAATGTATTCAAAGCATTTCTTTTATGTTGCATGGCTTGATGTCGGCTAATGACCCACAGATGTATTCTGTGTGCTTTTAGGAAACATGTTCATCATCAACATTTGAATTCTTTCATCAAAGCAAATTAGTCGCAGTAACCCAAACCATGATTTTGTATTGAATCCCCTGTAATGTAGAAAAAGCCTACATTTGGATGGGAGTGGAATTTTAAACCACCTTGGTTTAACTTGAATAAGATGGATTCATGTCATTATTTAGGGGCAATTCTCGATAATCAGATCTAATGTGGGCTTCAACTGGCATATTGATATCGACTGGTTCATGTTACCTGCTGATAAGTGACACATCAGTGGGAATATTTCAGATTGAGGAGAAGGCAAATTCCAAATGATCACATAGGAAATATGGTGGTGACGCAAAGCTTGATTCAGACGCTTCAGTTTCTGTATATTTACTGAGAGCCCACGCACTGCAACTTTATGCCATTGTGAGAATTTATGTCTGTGACTGGTTTGCTCTGCAATTATATGGCCAAAATGCTGGTTGTGGCATGGTTTCTGTACCAGTGCTTCTTTGTGTACTGTAACAGTGGTTTGAAGCACACCTTTCAGAAACAACACAAATTTTTGTATTTTTTTCCACACAATTGCATTCACTGTGCTTCGTGTAAGTTATGAGGGCCACGTGGTGGGTACGGTGCCCTTCACTTTGCTAAATCCAAGCTTTACAAAAGTAAAATGGTCTTATAACAAAGTATGATGTCTTGTTTTACAAAGCCACAGTAAAGCAATGTAATATAAATCACATAAATTGAGTATTAAAGGGATTTGTTCAGGTTCTTTAATTGGGTAAGTCAGATTTATGGATCTGTGAAAAGTCCTTGTCTTAGCTGTAGGAGATTACACACAACTCCACTTTTTGTGTAATATTTTGTAGGTTTATTTCCAATAGTGCAGGCCCAGATCACAGCTAACGGTTGTCATGTTATCTTTTCCAAACACATTTAGGAAGAGTGCTTTGAAAAGATTGCTCTATCTGAAATTATCCATGGTATAATAGCATCGCACTTAATATGATTGGCCAAACAAATAATGAAAGCCAGGCCCTTATAAATGGTGCCTTAGTTAGACTAATGTCCCTGATTTATGTTTCTGTTTTTGTCTTTCACTTTTCAGATGAGAGATTTAGTTTATAATTGAAAACTGCGTCCACAAGTATGACTTTGACCATCTGAAATCAAAATAATCATATCTGGCTCTGAATAAGTCCCTTGTTTTCCATTCTCCCGTCCCTCATTTGCCATCTATCTCCATTCCCCTCTCTTGCCTCCTTTTTGTTAAAAACAAAGCTGATTGCTTTCAGTGTCAGGACTCGAGCTGCAGCCAAAGACAATCAATAAAATTGTACAATGGCACTATTGTTTATGAGAACGAAAGTTTCGATTTTCCTAAACTGGCACAACTTACTTCTCCCCTTCATTTAAAAAAAAAAAAATGAAATGGCAGTTTATTGGTAGAAAGGCCCAGTCCGTTCCTGGGGCTGTGGTCTAAAACCCTCGACTCTGGGGAACACATTAGTCTGCCTACAGCAGCTGGAACTTCAGAGGGAAAAGGAAGGGAAGGGAAGGGAAGGGGGGGGGCTTCACTCACTTGTTTTTGTGTAGAAAAGTAATAGGAAGTGGGGGCAGGAGAAAGAGAGATGGACACAGAAAAAGATGGCGACGTGGTCGAGGCCTAGAAAGTGGATCCATATGTTTGGAGGGATGTGTAAGCTAAGAGGCTAATGACAGCAGCTCAAGAAGGACATCATTCCAGATTCAGCCGCACCCCTCCATGTTTTTTTTTTGTTTTTTTAATGTTAGATGTGTTTACCTTGCAGGATTCTCTCTGATTTGATAAACGGCTGATGTGCAGAAATCTTTTTTCTTACTTTCACCCTCATCAGCTTAGCATCTTCGAATGGAATTTTTTCCCTATCGTATCACATCAGTGACATGGCCTGTGAGGCACTTGGCTGCATAGGAGCAGTGAGGTTTCTTGATTTTTTTTTTTTTTTTTATTTTTTTATTTTTTTTATACTCACTTCTACTCCAAACCAAACTCCACTAAATCAAATTTGTAAGATGAATGTTTGTGTTGTGAACAGAGTCAAGTTAGAGTGCAAGTTTTATAAAGTAAGATGGCAATTTTTGAAATATGGCTACATCAAATGGATCATCCTGGTTTCCCAGAGAAATGATAATGTTTACATCATAAAAGCAAACTGAAAGGAACCGGGGGGAGAAGTTCATTTTTACTACTTAAACACTGGCATGCTTTGATATGGTCCCTTTCAAATTTATTTAGGCAACAAATACTTTTATTCATGCTGTGCCTCATTTAGCTCAGATGAAGCTACATGAAGCAACTTGAAATTAAGAACACAAGTATATTAGAATTGCTAAGATTCAGGCATTGAATCACTACATTGCTCACAAAATTGACCCATAATCCTGAGAGGTTGCCGTGGTATTTTTGTGATGTTTTTTTTTTTGGGGGGGGGGTCACTAATGTGCCTCCATCATGTAGATTATGAATCAATAGTTAGTGCTTATTTGACTCATCTCTGAGAATCAATGCTGGAGAACGAAACTGAATGACATAAGCAAAATGACCTAAAAAGACTTCAATTCAATTTTAATGTGGCAAAACAGGCGTCATGCTTTGCACACGGCCGCCAGAAACAATAGCACTATTTGTTTTACCATCACCTTCTGCTAAGAGTGTCTAAATCATTCTCTGGGAAAAATGTGTGGTGCTGGTTTGGACTGGGCTATTATTGGAGTATGTATGCCTGTGTGTCTGTGTTTATTTACAGAGAGGAAAGAGGGAAAATGTCCTCCTATGCAGCCATGTGTGTCTGCATTTATCGGCCTGTTTATCAGTAACACTGGGTAAATGCTTCCGCAGGGGATACTGTTTCATCCATACTCCCATGATGATCAGTAGTTGGAGACGAATGCAAATTTGCTTTGAATTATTCAAATGCACATGGCAGCTCACTGCAGGGACGTGGATGCTCCACTGCCAGTGGAAAGACACGACGTGTCATCCTTTTTGGAGGCAGAGGGGAAATGAATCACATCCTCCTCCCCTCATGAGCCATCCATTCTCCCCCGTTCCTCTTACCAACACGGTTCCCTTGCTTGACAACAAAGTTTGTTGGGAAAAGAGCCAAAGAAAAAGGACAGAGACACACACACTCACACACAGACACTTGTAGACCAAATTGCCTTGGTGAGTTTTTCTACACTTTGTCGTGGCCTACTTTTAGGCTTTTCCAGAAGTGATTTCCAGCTCTGCTGGGCAGACTGCAGCATTACCCAGAACTGTCTTGGCCTACTAGCCAATGACATCACTTTAGGTGTGTATGTGTCAGAAAAGAAAAGTTACTTATGAACTATGCTTGTAGACAGATGGTCGATAGAAATTTGCCAGTTATCTGACACAGTTGCTTTTCAGAGCTTTGGCTCTTACACAATGAATTGTTTTAATTTAGTTGGAACTCAAGTTTTTGTAATTATATGTCACAATGGTTTTGTAGTCCTCAGAAAAGTGCAGCTCATCCAGGAAAGCCTGTAATGTTTTAGTATTATGGAACCAATAAGTTATAGGTTTACAATTTGGCACTATCATAACTGCACAAAACAACACGGACAGTTAAACACTTTATTATCGTGAAGAAGGTTTGAGTTAACACAAATTTGTGGTCTTAAACACTGGCTAAAAAAGGCATGTTTATGATGAAATGAAGATGTCTCCCAAAATGACCTGCTCCAGCTCTGATGGGGGGTCACTGAGGTGAGAGATGGCAACACTATTGAAGCTCAGAACGTCTTAATGGGGTCAGATCCATGGAACACGTCCAAAACACTCTCCTGGGAAGTATTCACAAGTCATCCAGACCAGATGTCCAAAGCACCTCAGCAGAGCTCTAATGTCGGCCTCAGCAGCTTTGTTCCCAGGCAAACCTTAACCTTATACTTGTAGCAAAGTAAAGCTGCAAAATGATTGGCCCAACCAAATGAGTTCTTTGGGTTGTAACAACACATTTCCACTCTCATAACTGTGATCTGCGCAGTCCGAAGAGTTGTGGCCAGAAGTGAGACACCCTACGTTCTTTTTAGGTTTCATGCAAACCTACATCCATGTCTAAACCTCACAGGCATGTGTTTGCTCTTATAAAGACCAGAAACCTTCCCTACAACATGTGGAACCCATAGTGGTTTCCGTACTGGTGTCACCAAGGAGCTGGTTTTTACCCTGGGTAATTTGGACACCTTCAAAGCAGAGAACTGTTCCATGCAGCAAAGGCTGACTGTTTTGTCCTGTTGAGTGTGACTCTGATAACTTACTTGTATCTCTAAGATCTTTTCTGGAATCATAGCTCGAACATCCACCTGCATGTCAGCACTTTCAGTAATGGTACCAAACGTGTACAAACAGGCGTGCATGCAGCCATATGTGTGAGTCCCATACGTGCCAGAAGACGGACACTTTCTTTCCAACTGCTCATTCTGTTCTTCTGATCCTCTGGCTTGATGTTATGTAGTGTGTGAGCGTGCTGAATCCTGCCCCAATTTTATCTGCATTAACACAACCTCAGGGGCACGAGTTCAGACCTCTGTGTTAAAAACCAAAAATCAAGCTACATCTCAATGAACCGAAACAGAGTTGTGAGAGATATTTTTAGATTAGAAAATAAGATGGTCGTGTTTTTAAGTGAATTAAAGCAACAGGGTGTTTGACTGACTGTAGTTGAGCTCACATACATTTATACAATGTACATTTTACTGTCAGACTGTGAGTATCTGGAAGTGGTCAGGCTGTATATCTTAGTGGTGCCATGTGTGTGGGTTTTCATTTACAGACTTCAGTTTGTGAGGGTTCATCCCCAAAGTGACCTCTTCCTCTTCCTCTTCCTCTGTGTTGGCACATGCCTCAGAAAACTGTCTAGCCACAGTCCATCCAGACCTAAATAAAGTCCAAATTTGCACCTGGTCTAGCCATAAAACGGTTGTTAGTGGAATGACTTTTGAGTAAGGCTCCAAACGACCTGGGCTGTAACTTTAAACAATGATGAATCTCTACAACAGCTTTGCAGCTATTCTCAAAGCAGCCGGTGAGTCTGCCAGTTTATTTAACGTATTGTTGCTTTGCTGCGGCATTAGAGGATCTGTCTGTGTGCAGAGGGCTGAATCAAACCTCAGCCACAAAAGACATGGGAAAAATCTGTAATTGTTCTCAGCTCAGGCCACTTAAACCACTTTTCAGTCCAAAGCAAACAGAGCTGTTTCGTCTAGTTTACGTTCTTATCTAAATTCTCAAGAATGTTGAAGACAGCGGTTCCTTTTGTACCTTGAAATAGTATCTACTCCATCATCACTGGGCGGCAGAAAACCAACCCCCCTCAAAAAACAAAAAAGGTTCTTGTTTTGGACGGTCCACGTTGACGATATAAGACTGAAGATCTCAGAAATGATCCAGTAGTTTTTATTTGTCTTTTCTGAGGAGCCTAAAAGCCACCTCAAACCTCCAAAAATATTTTAAGTCGGTTTCTGTGTATATGTGCTACATGCATCACTATGATATCAAACAAAAGTGCGTGTGTGTGTGAGTCTTGTCCTGTGGCTTGCGGTGTTTGTTGTTGCCCTTTTTCCTTTAAGCGCAGCCATAGTGAAGCACCAATGCATCCTAACCTCCGTCTGAAATAGCAGCGTGAGTCACTTGGGTGGTCAGGAGAGGCGGACTCACATGACGGGATGATTTTCCACAAGTCGTTCCAGATTGCTGACTCGTAAGAATTAGTAAGTGATCTGCAGACTGGGGAGACTTTTGAAACTTTAAGGTGTCTGCATGTTCTGTTTGCTTTGCCTTCTCACCTCGGCTGGGTTCGCCCGGCACACGGCTCCTGCATTTTGGACTCTATGTGCACCATTTTTCTGAATGCAGTGTGACTTTATGTGGGTGTTTGTTTGCTAGAGATCTCCATAGGCACCAAATGGCTCGTATTAGTTAAAGATAGGTCATATTGAGATTGACTTCGGTTAGGGTAGCAACAGTCGCCATGACAGAACCGGTGTCATTAACTGTGATCGTAGTCGTGGTGGCAGAGGCCCGAGTGTCTTGGCAGAGGCTCGCATCCACCTGATGTCCTCTTTCTCTCAGCTGTGTGTGCGTTTGTCCTGCTTCCTCTCTCCATCTGGTTATGCTCTCATCTCGAATGGAGTGTGACAGCAGAAGGGGAGTGGGGTGATTATACAGACTCCTGCGCCAGGTGTCTGTAAAGCATGTTTCCTGGTTTCTGCATTTATCTCCTCTCCCAGTGTGTCAGTGTGCAGGGTTCAAGCGAGCTCACTGGAATCAGGATAACATCCCAGCATAGTGCTGACTGTGGACATGCTCTTTTTGAACGTTGCATGTACGCTTTCTTATCTTCTAATAAAAACTTGTGAGGTCGAGCACACTTGCATCAAATCAAAGAGTGTGCCTCCAAATGTTTTTCCTTGATCTATTTTGGAAATTAATCTACTCTAATTTGTTAATTATTATTATATTAATATCAGTTTATCTGTAGACGTTTTTGATCATAGAGTTTTGTCATGAGTTATGGAGAGATGAATGTGATGAGGGATTGCCCTGTGATTTGAGTCTTTGACAGGTTACGCATAGTTCATAAAGCTACTTTTTGGTTTGGGCATTCACTTTTGTCACTTTCAGTTACCTTAAGGCCTCCTCTGGCTCCTGTTTAGAGTCTGAGTCAGCTAAATAGAACCGTCGGTGCAGGTTCTTGTTTTTTAATGTGTGTTCTGACTCATTATTAATCCTGACTTTTGGCTGCTGAAGAAATGTAGAAATAAGTGTGAGTTTCCACTGCCCTGACATGAAGGTAGTCCTTATTTGCTATTTATGAAACAGTTTTCCAGTTTCTGTGGTCTGTTAACACACACATTTGGCCATCAGGAATCAGTTGTTAGCTGGGTTGTGCTTTCAGTCCCACACAAAAAGCTTTTGATCTAGATTATTTGTGTTTTCGCTGGTGTTGTTTGGCGTGACTGTTGCTTTTCCCCGTGGAGCTGGGAGCACAGTCCTGCAGCATTGAGTGGGTTGTGTTTGGAGAGCTTGGAGTTGGCTGTAATTACTTTCATACTGTTCAGTCATAAAACACAATATCTCAACAAGTCTGAGGCTCAGCGGAGGGATTGCAGTTTAAGTAACACTGAACTTTGGATAATCTTTCAAAGCTTGTCGTGCTTCAACAATGGAGCAAATATGTTTGCTTTCATTTTTTTTCATTTGTGTATTTGGTTTGGACAGTAGCCGGCATCTGTGATGGTTCAGCCTGTCACTGTTGACAATGTGCCTGTTTGGTAAATTGTTCAACAAATTTGACATCCTCTCTCCATGCATCAGGTCTGTGGGTCTATAGCTACTGTTGGAATGCTATCGGGCTTCTTCAGACTCACCTCTAATGTGTTTACCAGGTTTGCTTTTCTTGTTTAACATTGTGTACAAAGCAGAAAGCGGGGCGATGTAAGTAATTAATTTTCTAAGCATATTGAGTCAAACAGAATGCATGAAAAGTGTATGTAAAGTCAGGGAACCCTGAAAAGAAAAAGAAAAAGAGGAAGAGTGTGGATACAGTTTTAGATGATGTGGAACTCTGTGGATAACTGCAGACATGAAGTAACACTGTGGGCTTTAATATAGATTTCTTATTCTTTTTATCCAGATGTGACCATGCTGTCCTTCTGTTTCCCTTTTGCAGACTAAGCTCCCCGTACTGTTGTTGGGCCGCTCATCTGACCTGAGACCAGGGGAGTTTGTGGTTGCTATTGGTAGCCCCTTTTCCCTTCAGAATACAGTGACTACAGGAATTGTCAGCACCACTCAGAGAGGAGGCAGAGAACTGGGCCTTCGCAACTCTGACATGGACTACATTCAAACTGATGCCATCATTAATGTAAATAAATCAAAAGACTTTTCCTTTAATTTTCTCTTATAAACAGATATAATAAATGAGTTATAACTTTGGTTCACAGTATGGCAACTCCGGAGGTCCACTGGTAAATCTGGTAAGCCTTTTTCATATTATTCTAGTGGTTAGACATGTTAAAAATCCATGGATTAATTTTCTATAACTGTGGTTCGATGTCTTAGGATGGTGAGGTGATCGGGATCAACACTTTGAAAGTTACAGCTGGCATATCCTTTGCAATCCCCTCAGACAAGATCCGACAGTTTTTGGCCGAGTCCTATGACAGGCAGTCCAGAGGTATTTTCTCCTAGTGATGGATCTTCTTAGATTCTCATGACTTCTCATCAATCACTAAGACAAAGTGTAGGATGTATGAAGCTGGGCAACGCTCCCATCTGGATAGTCTTAAAAATAGTCCAAGTCATTTCACCTTTCTTGTTTCTTTTCCTTCTTGATGTAGTCTCTTCATACGTGTTAAACATATTTTCATTTTTGTGACTCCATGCTCAGCATTACCTGCTAGGACTTTTAACACAGCTAATGAACATATATTTTCTCATTTTTATCCCACTCTCTATTTTAGATATGTATATACACCTATTATTTATTGAACGACTACTGCCTCTCAGAATTCTGGATTCAGACTTTTGTCTTTTTTTTCCTTTTTTTTTTAAGAAAAGGAATTTACAGTCAAATGAGTGCAGGAGTCTGAGTTGGACGTCCAGCCTTTACATTTGATTCAATAAAATACAAAATGATACAGTAAGACATGATCAAGATGAGACATCCTAGCAAAGGTAGTTTCACGTGTTGTCCATTTGCAGGAAGAACCGATGCCAAGAAGAAGTACATTGGTGTGAGAATGATGACCCTCACTGCATCGTAAGTTGTTTATTTTCATTCTAATTCTCTATCTGGACTTTCAGTGGGGAAAAAGATTAAACTTTTTTATCATGTTTTGACATAAGAAAATCACAGAATTGATTTGTTTCTTTTCATGAACAATGAAACAATGATCAGTGACTAGATTCTCTCTTCATTTTCTGACTGCCAGGCTAGCCAAAGAGCTGAAAACCCGACACCGTGACTTCCCTGACATCACCTCGGGAGCTTATGTTATGGAGGTCATTGCAAAGACACCAGCTGCAATGTAAGGAAGACACTCTACTCGTATAACGCCGAAAGAATTTGCGCAGTGAAACCTAACTGTAAATTTATTATTTTGAGCAGGGTGCAAATCTAGGCCGTCTCTGACTCTTTCTGAGCTCTGGGATGTTTTCGTTGGCCCTCAGCTCGACACATGTGCACTTAATTCGCACAAGAGTGCCGTCCCTCTCCCTGCAGCCTCTGCTTAGCACTCGCAGTGCGGACTGACGGTATATTTCATTTCCCCTCTTCTTCTTACCGTGCCGTGAAGTGTGCCCTGGCACACACGCATAGTCTCCAACACAACTGTCCGACTAGTATGTAAAGTCATAGCTTGCAGCGTGCCTGAAGTGCCTGGCCCTCTAAAACCCCCTCCTCCCACAATGGAAGCCCACTTAAATCAGCTCCCACCACAGCTCCAGGAGAGTGGGGTGTGGGAGACGCTGAGGTCAGCTGTTTCCTTCAAACCTCATGCAGGGAGGTTACTGGCTGTGCTGCGGTTTTACTGCGCCTGCTCACACAGCCCACTCCAGAGTGGTCTCTCTTACAAGGCCTCATCAGAGTTTACTCATTACCCAAATCACCCAGCTTTCTGAATAACAACATTTCTGTGGTTCCTTTTATTTTCTGTTATTTTCTAGGCTTTGCTGTTTTGTGCTTTTGATCTGTGTTGTGTTGGTTTACTTTGGAGTTGAGGTCTTGACCCTCTTGTTGGGAACTTTCCATCTGGAGCTGCTGAGAGTACTGAGAGGAAAACTGGGCTGCAGATGTGTTAATGGGCACTGGGAAGGTGACGGGAAGGTGTGGTGGCCTGTGCTCACATGTGGCTAAGATCGAGCAGCTGTTAGCTTTTCATACCACTGCTGGTTAATGGTTTGTTTGTCATAGGTGAACATGCACTGAGGTGTTTTCTCTGTAAATCACTTCAGATTTACTGCATTATCGCTAGAATTTTACGCAAACATTACATTTCTAATAACATGAAGTTCAGCCAAAGAAAGTAAATGTGTATGCCACATTACACTAAAGTTGTTTTTAACCTTTCCTGAAAAATTAAAGAGAGACGTTTTCATGAAATCATCATGTCATAATGTACTTTGATAAAAAAATTAAGTACTTTTCCTACAAACTTTGTAAGGCAGGACTGAACAGAGCTTTGGTTTGGGAATATTTTAAAATGAACTCAATGTATGCAATGAAATTCTTGGTAAGACTACATGGATATTTAAATTGTTGTCGTCTTGTCCGTCATTACTATGTGAATTATTGAGAGAATAAGAAGGTAGAAAGTGATTGTAGAAAACGTCTAAATGTATTAAATATTTCGAGCAACAGTATGCTCTCTCCATTGGTAGTATTACTATCCTCCTTTATCAGAAGTTGAATGTGGCACAAAAAAAAGAAGTTTAAACATAAAAAAATGTGGCACTCAACTGAGATATGGGGCCTGGAAATGGAAACAAGCCATTGCCTTTATCCAGGCAACATGTGCTTGCAATTTATCAAGACCTCAATAAATCATCTTTTTTTTGTTCTGTGCTCTAGTGGTGGACTCAAAGAACATGATGTAATCATCTCCATCAATGGCCAAAGGATTTCATCAGCAACTGACGTCAGCGCCGCCATCAAGAGAGATAGCACCTTGAGAATAGTAGTGCGCCGTGGCAACGAGGACGCCATCCTCACCGTTGTTCCCATGGAGATTGACCCTTGACCTTCCAGAAATCATACCGCGGGAGCTGGAGTTGGTTAAACTTGTCACCAGTGGACCTTATATGGAGAGGGCTTCTATTGAAAAAGGTTCTCCCTGTTGCCAGAGGCCCAGTGGCACCACACACCCAGGAAAATTCTGGCTTTGCCTTGAAAGGAACGACTGTGCAGATGCTCAAAAAAGCAATGCTGTACTTTATTTTTCTGCGTGTGCCTCAATTTTTAGCCTTTAATGCTTTGATCAATGCTACTACTGTTTGGTCACAAACTTAATAATTTTGTTATTGTTTTTATCTGCTTTTTCATCTTTTTAATATGGACTTTTGCTCATTCAGGTCTCAGTCAGGTTGCAATTTTAAGCAACTCAGAGGCTAAGTGAGCAAATCTGATCTGTATAATTGTTGTTTTTTTAAGCTAATTTTTTCCAAGTACTGTAGAATGTTTTTGACTATGTGATGTATACTACGAAGAAAATAAACGGTTTACTTACAATTCTTTTGAAAGTTTACTTTGCTGGCTTTTTCCAGTTCTTTCCATCTTTAAATTTTTTTATTCAGTTTATGACTTTCCCATTCACGCACACAAGCTTGGGTGACCAGGACATTTCATTCTTCATATGCATGTTGAGCCACACCTTAACCAGAACCTAACCTCATTATGCACCAAGGCTATGGTCCATATAAGCATTTATGATGAACCAGTGTTTACTCCAGAAAAATTCCTATAAAGTAGCAAAAACGCTTTCGCAAAAACTCTTTCTGAGCTCATGCTGATGAGTCAGTATTTTCTTTACGTGTGTGCAGACATCCTCTGCTTGTGCTGGTGCGCACACAGAAAAGGAACGCAAAGCCATTGTGGATCTGGTTTGAATTTGATTTTATTGCTTTCATACAGGCTCGATAGTGGTGTGGTGTGATTGTTGGGCCAGAGGCTGTGCGGGCTGACCTCAGAGACAGAAGTGTGAGCCAAAAGGAGATCGGACCCACAGTGCAGTGGTCACCGATTTGGGTCTCGCATGAATATATTCAATGTTTTGGAAGAGATTTTTGTTTGCCACATAAATTCTGGATGAATCTGATGAAACTGACCTCATGAGAACTACAAAACAGCTTAATTTGATCAAAGAGCACGTTAGCCAAGAGACGTGATTGCAAAGGCAAGACTGCATAGAATTGTTTGTTTTTTCCTTACTGTAACGTTACATAGTTTCCATGCAATGCATGCAAAGCTTTACACTTATCCTTAAAGTGCAGAGACTATTTAAGGCTGCCATTTAGTGGTTAACTTCCCATCTTTCACAATCGACTTGCAGACCATGTCTTTATTAACCACTGGATGTTTATCCTTTCTGCCTTTTTCCATTCAAATTAACCACATGGAGGCCTTATTAAAGAGAGGACATTTCCAGTGACGTTAAGCAACCCACATGTCATACAGTCAAATGTTATTTTAAGTGTCCAAAGGAAACTTAATTGAACAATTCTTTATGGGTTTAAGACGGGAATTATTTTTAAAAGATATTTGTCGTGGGTCATAATAAACCAAGTCATTGTGTGGATTTGTTGCTGTGGGCAGGAATAACCTCCTGTAACTTGTAGTTGCAGAGCTGAAGAAACCTCTGACTGAACATGTTTAACTGTTTGATTGATGTTAGATGTAAATGGTGCACAGTGTTTTCCAATATTCTGAGCAGCTCTTTCACATTCTTTTTAAGATTTTTTAACAAACTTCCCCTGGAGCTCTAGAGGAGCCCCTACTGCTTTCTCAATTAGTTTGTTAATTTGCTAAGAGTCACTAACTCAGACACTGATGCCACAACAAATAGTTATAAAGCTAACTGCACACTCCACCAAAGACTTGTAGAAGATCTACAACATCCAGTTGTATAAATTGAGATTTCTTAAGAAGCACATCGTGATCTGTTCAAGACAGCATCTGCGTTCATTTACAGGTCAGGCTGCTGTCCAGAGACTCCCCGGAATCTGGTTTCCTCCACCTCCCATCCCAGGATATAGATTGTGTTTTAGTTTGTTCTGTTTTTATTAAAGATTTTTCCTAAAACTTATAATATCATCTTTCATTTGTTAGATTCTTTTTGAAAGATGATTAAAGTAACACCCTGAAGAGTGACTGGGAAGCTGTAGATCCAAGAATAGTGTGAGCTTTGTAGCTGGGAGAGTAAAACATGACTGAACTGAAATGAAAATGCTTTGATTTACTTTGGATGAAAATAATCCAATGGCACAAATACAAATACAATAAGTTTAGGAATATAATTTCGATCAAAGGTCAGACGATCCAACATAAAGTTTTGACCAGAATAAATTTGAATTAAGAGTGACTGTAAGTGTTGCTGCCATCTACTGGTTTGGTGTCTGTGATGCAGTTTGCAATTGACATGCTCAACAACATTACAAATATTTCAAGCAGATGTTACGCTCAAACATTCAAAGTTGTTATTTAACTTGGCAATACAACAGACTCATAAACCATTTATTCCAACACGGCAAATCATTTAGAGATTACAGTACACAAACAGAACATCGCACAGGGCTGTAAGGTTTGCTTGTTAATGAAGTCATGACTGTCAGACTGCCAAGACCTGAGCTCAAAACAATCAGTCATACAGGGCATGGCCATATTACATCAACATATCTGGCCCTTGATGTGGACTGACTCCATCTCCAGATCCATGCACATACAAATGCCAGGAGTCTGTATGTTAAACATTGACGGAATAGTTTTATCTTAGTCTAAATATTGGATGATGATGTTATGGGATAGAATCTATATAATGGAGAAAAGTAATAGAGAAAACCCTGTGGCCATCTGCCCAACGGTGATTTAAGACTCAATTGAAAAACTAAGAAATATCTTCCAGTTTGTTGCCACTTTACTTTCTTTAATACAGTCCTGGGTGACAATTGTGAAGCCAGGAGGTGATTAAATCACTTACTGTGGAGCAGTTATTTCATTTCATCCAACTTAAATTGGCTAAAGAAGACTCCAAATGGTTCCAAAGGGGAATCAGTATCCTCCTGTTTGGGAGATGAAAGCCTCTCTGGTCATGTTGTGATGTCTGGGGTGACTAATGATCATCTGAGTGCTGATACAGTTGGGAAGACTTTGCCCTGCGAACCCATAACTCACTTTTTATTCACTTCACACCATCTTTTCCCTCAGACAATCGGTGCAGCTGGTTTATTATATTTTATGAGACTTTCTATTTTATTGAGACAACAAATCAAATAATTAAGTTTAAAAATCAGTTGTCTTCATATGTTTTACCATAAAAAGTATGATGATGCAAATCTGAGACCTATATGATATAATATTTAGCATGTAAGGACTCTAATATTTCAAAACATGAAGACATGGTAAAGCACAAATGTATAAAGAATATACAAAGAAAATATTTTATCACTTCAGTCTCATACATTGTAACCCAGAATATTATTTTGAACTGAAGAGTTTTTTTATTACAGCAAAAGAAGCGATTTATTATAGAAAGAAACTGTAAGGCATGCTTCTGTTTGGCCTGTTGCACTGCCATGTTGCTAAAACAGCGAAGAGGGCATTGACCACACATTGGCTTTGCGCAAGCCTTTTGCAGTTTGCAAAACTACAGCAGTTTATGGGTAATTTTGGAGTATTCAGTAGGCTTAAATGCACTTTGGGCTTTAAATCAGTATGCTTCAACATAATATTTTTGTCTGAGCTTACTATAAACAATTTGTGGTCAATCTTAATTCTAAAGTATACATACATTCCTATAGACAACAGTGAAAACTGTGATGTCGGATTGGAAAGCGTGCAGTCAGAGGTTGAAATACCAACCTGGGCATCTATCCAGTAAGTACATACACACAAATAGCTCCTATATGTTGGCTACTTATGACATTTTAATCAACGGCTCCTTTAAAATTGTTGAGGACATGAACTACTAATCCATCTATTTTTATTTTTAGTTAAAGGAAAATACACCACAAATTCAAAAACTAACTGTGGCATTTTAGAAAACATTTTCAGTAATAGTATTTTGATGATAAGATGTTTTTCACTATAAATGTTTATTGTTTAGTTTTTTTCATACGTGCTGCAAAACATTCAACATTTATAGCACCAGACTATGTCTAAACTATTGTATTAATTGGTTTCTTGCTATATAGGCTGTTGTTATTAAAGTTATTTTTTTTTCTGCTACTCTTCGACCTTGTTGCTTATTCTCCTGGCACGTTACCAAATTTAAACCGACTAACACGATCCACCGTCGCCCCCTATCGCTTGTTATGATTTCAAATTCCATCCTATCAAATTTGTGTTTGTTAACCTCTTCTGAGTCGCCGGACAGCCTTCCGGGTGCTGATTGGTCAGTTCAGTTTTAGCAGCGCAGTACATGGGGATCTTGCCAAGCATCGAGGAGGGAGGGGATATTTTAATGGCCGTCAGTAGCACTTGAAAATGCAAAAACTCCGAATTATCCTTTGTATTTAGAATAGGGTAGCTTCGGTTGTGTTTAAGTCGCTTTGTTTTGGTAAAGAGCATTGATTCGGAAACATACTTGGGTTAGATATGTGTTTCTAGTGCTGTTTGTATTCACTGAAAGGACTTTACCAGCTTAATTTGTGCGTGAGTGGGTGATCACTTATCAGGCCTAGCCGGCTGGCTAGAAAACAAGCGGACGGTTAGCTAGTCGCTGGAGTTGAACGGTAACTGTGCTGCTTCTCTATTACACTCTAGTGATTTTAGATGATGAAATACACGGTGAATGCATACATATACGCATTTTGCCATATTTTCACAGATAGATTTCCGACATAAAATGTCGCCAGATTAGTAATGTAAACAAGAGAGTTATATTAGCTTAGTTAGCACTGTTGAAGCTAACGGCTAATAGCTAACTACTTCACAGTAGTTAACTTTAGATGCAGGCCAAGCTAGTTAACACATGTTGGAAAGCACGTAACCTGTTTTAACAATGAGCAATGATGGATATTGCAGCTAACTCAGAGTTTTATATAAGTTTTTGAACACTTTCTGCCCGCTTATCTTCACAAACAATATATCTGAAGATGGAGCACGCTATGCTAACTTGCGTGCTCCGAATCATCAGACGATACACCAATTCATCCAAGCTCACATAGCTCATTGTTTAAGAATATACTATCTTCCATTTTCATTATAGGTTAGTTGTTTTAGTCTTTTGATATTGATAGATTTAAATGATATTTATGATTGGCACTATTGTTTATTGGGGCATATTTAGCTATATTTAATCATCTCTAAATTTCTTTGGATAGCTAATTACACGAATAAAGTTCATGTTCAAATTTTTTCTACTGTTCACTCTGAAAGTAGTAGCGAACTGCATGCATATTTCAATAGATCTGTCATATTGTATTTGGTAAAAGGAAACATTATCAAGCGGTGACCAGACAAAGCTCCTCCCAAAATAAGCTTGTGATAAAACCTGTAATATTAGCAAAGTGGAATACAATCTAACACTTAGTAGGAGAACAATAATAGTCGACTTATTTACCAAGCTACTTACTGATAGATTTCACTATAAAAATGGAAATCTGTTACTTTGAACATTTTGCAAGACTGCTTTAATGTTTATCTTGAAATGCATAAGTAGGGATAGTACTTTTACTCATACTATACTAATACTTTAAATGTGCTAGGAACGATGTAATTAAAGAAACATTTTGACATTTTATTTCCTTGAAGCAAAACTGCATTGAATCTCACAGCATGTTTTTTTTTCTTTATATAGATACTGCTTTGCTTCCATTTTAATATCATACAGAGAACGTTTTTGTGATGGATACATATTTTCATAATGCTTTGATGAAAGTTATAAATCTTCCTCTCTTACAGGGAATATGTAACATAAAGCTGCCAAAATGACATCCAGATTTGGTAAAACATACAACCGCAAGGGAGGAGAGGCTAATTCAAAATTTGAAGAAGTCTTTTCCAATAAAAAGCCCACTCTCACCACCAAATGGGGAGAGACCACCTACAAGGCTCAGCTAGGAGCCAAAAGGCCGATGTTAAAAGCTGATGTCTCTGAAGCCCCAAAGAGGCCCAGGCTTGAAGACAGTGATAGTGAAGAAGACCCATTTGGTTTCGACAGTGATGAGGAGTCCAAAACCGTGACCTCTCACAATGAGTCTGAGGTGAAAACCACAGAAGGGGACATAATGCCGACGAAAGCAGCACAAAGTAGAGCAACACTTTCTGCTGTGACTGCACAGGGTTCCTCAAGTGTTAAAGCCACACTCACAAGTAAGTTGTAACAACATAATAGAATGTAAAACCTAGCCCTAAAGTCATGCTGGGAGATTGCATTTGAGTAATTTTCCTTTGTTGTTACTCAGTAGCTTTCTTAGGATAGTTGGTGTTAGCCTGGTCTTTGTATGTAGCTGTGCTTATTGTACCTTTCCATTTTAGGTAAACAAGCCTCAGGGGAGAAGGATGTTAAAAACAACCAGCCCTGGTACAAAAATGCACCAGATGGCAATCAAAAACCTGCATGTGTGACCTCTCTCTCAGACGCAGTCCATTCTGCTAATCAGAACTTCTCAGTCTCTCAGAAGCCCGTTTCATCCTCCATTTATTTAGACCCCTCCCTTCAACTGTCTGTTGATGAAACAGTAGATGACGGAGAGCTCCAATCTGCTTCCTCTTACGATGGATTTTCATCAGAGGAAATGAAGTGTGAGGGACAGGAGCTTTCTACAGAGACTCCACCACAACCAGTGGACAACATTCCCCCGTCACCATTTACCCTCAGGTCATCAAACTGCAAGAAATACCAGCGGCCTAACCGGCTGAACAAAGCCCTATTTGAAACTGCTGAAAACAACGGCCAGAAGCCCACTGACACAGCGAGTGCCCAAGACAAACCCAACAGTGCCCTTTCTGCTGGTGCAAGTAGTACTGCTGCCAGTGCTAAAACAGCAGCCAAGCCTGCGGGCAGGGGTGGTGGGAGGGTGCGGGACTACACTGTTCTGCACCCCTCCTGTCTGTCAGTATGCAATGTCACTATTCAGGACTCAATAGAGCGGAGCGTTGATGAACTGGTAACCCCGGCGACTCCAGCTGACCTTGGAGACACTGGGCAGATGAAGAAAAAGTCCGATGCACAGCCATCCAAACCAACCAGGTAAGGGCTTGACGTATCTGCGTTGATAGATGGGTTGTGAAGATAACTGCTAAATATATCAGCAAGCCCAGGCTTGCTGATAAATTATACATGATGACAGTACCTTTTTTATTGGTTTTCTCAGTCCTCTGCACTTAATTCTGATCATTCTGGTATCAGAGGACTTTCCCCTCATTTATAGTCATCGAAGATAATTTAGTTTAATTTAGTAGAGTAAGTAGGAAAAAGATCCCACCGTAAAATGAACAGCACACGCATAAATCATCATCATGGTACTGCTTTCAATAGAATTGCAAAAAAAATGTTCTCACTATTCAGCCAATAAGCCACTATGAAGGAGTCAAACTTACATTTTAATAGCCTAACCCTATGCCCAATAGATAAGTGCCAGTAAAACCCCGTTAATCTGCGGCAGGAATTGCAGTGACTGCTTTATAGAAATAATCCTTTCTAAAATTCTTGATAACAATTAACATATCCCTAAATTAAAATGTTTTGTTTTAGGTTTAGACCAACGCAGACAAAGACAAGGAAGACTAAAGCAGAGACAAAGTTAGAGTTCTTTGGCTTTGAAGATAAAGACGGTGAGGATGATGAAGAGGGCTCAGAGGTTGGTATGGCAGGCAAGAGCAGCTACAAGATCAAGTACTTTGGCTTTGATGACCTGAGTGAAAGTGACAGCGATGAAGAGAGCTCTCAGGCCAAAGAGAAGAAGGCCAAAAAGGCAGCCGCAGCTTTAGCCGCTCTAAGCTCCAGCGTGGACAGTCCGCATACCAGCGACTCGCAGGACAGTCAGGCCAGCAGCAATACAGGTGGGCAGATGTAATGTTACCAGTCTACGCTTCAGCCATATTTCCCAAGACAACCACCAAAAGTGGTGGTTGATAACAGTTTATTTTTTTGTATCACCTAAGTTGTATATATAAACCTTAAACTCTTCCAACAGATGCTTTTGAATTCTCTGAAGACTACAGTCCTGGTGGCACTGAAGGACAAAAAGGGCGAGCTGGCAAGCAGAGTGACAAATCCAAGGACATTATTAGTGGATTTAAAAAGATTTTCAGTGGGCCCAAAAAGGTATTGACATATCTATTTCTGGGTTCTCTAAGACTTTTATGTCTTTTTATTTTGCAGGTTTTGTCTAGATATTTTTTTTACACTGGAGTTACATTGAATTTCTGTGGTTAATCAGCAATAGTCCAGCTCCTCTGACATTGCTTTGACAACTTGTGCTTTTTTTAGTGTTTCTGTGACATAATATCAAAGTTGTCTTTATATACTAAATCTGAGAAAGAGGAGTAACAAAGGAGAACTGGATCAAGTTGCCTAAATGGAAGCTGAAAGTAAATCTCTTTGGCTGGATTGTATGAAATGTAATTGGGTTGTTTAGTAGATATATCTGAGAACTTCAGGGCAGAATAATTAAGCCAATGGTTTAACATATGTCAGCAGTCCCAGAGGTAGAAGTAGGTCCAATGGTACACATGTTTGTGTGAAAGAAAGTGTGCCTTACCTTTGGTTAAGGATACATTTATTGTATAACTGTAATCTGCTCTGGCATATTTGTGGTGTTTTGCATTCAAGTTCCAGTTTTTGATTTGGAAAAAAATTCTCAGGGCTTTGGGTTATTTGTGATATGTCTTTTTAATTCTGTACATTTACTGATTCAACAGCATCAGTAGAGCTCTACAGTGCATGCATAATGTGTACTAGAGTGACACAACATGTCATTTTCAGTAATTGTTTTGTGCTGCTGGAGGACAATAAGCCTTCACACTCAGACTAGAGTCGTCATCCTCTATCAACACAAGCCGAGCTGCACTGACTGTTACTTTATAAGTAATTTAATGCATTGCGCCCAAGTTTTTTTTGTAATGCTGAGACGCAAATGTTTGTATATTTTCTTTTTATTCTACTGGGTCCTTGAATTTATTGTTTCATTGTTTCAGTCCCCCTCTAAAGCTGTATACAATGCTCGCCACTGGAACCAACCTGAGCCCGAGGAGATTCCTGCACCTCCACTGTCTCGATCTCAAACTGCTCCGGTAAGATGCTGAATATGGCTTTGGTGCGTTTCTGTTTGGGCTAATTGGAGACTGTCTTGTGATGTCTGTTAGTAAACACATTAACCTGTGGCTTGAGTATAAATTAATTCAGTTCTTCAACCAAGACTAGACATCATAAGATGCATGTAGACCTACTAGGTAATATTATGAAATATAGCTTTTCGGATTTGGCAAAAAGTACATGCAGATATAGTAAGTTTCCATGGTATACTCATCGACCCTGTTTAGTGTTTATACTTGTCCTAAACTGAACTTAAGAAGGGTTTGCACTCACAATGTTTAATAGTTGGAGCCTGAAAGTGTAAACATTGCTTTAAATTGTTCTGTTAAATGCTAATATTTAGTACAGTTTATTCACTTGTTTACTATTTTATGAACTACAATAATGGAAATAAGTGTTTGTTCAAGGAAAAGTAAAAGTTTTGAAAGTTGTTAGCTGTCCCTTATCTTAATAGCCGTCTGTTAACATCACTTATTAAAGATAAGTGGGACTTAACAAATTGTTCAGCTGAGCCAAACGTTGGACGCATGCCATTTAACTGATTTGTTGTCCTGCGGCGGGCTGAATTTCTTTGCCTTTTTCCTCCCATAGGCCGTACTATCGAGTAGCAGCAAGGACAGCAACTCCCACAAAGACGACGGCTTGTTCAAAGCCCCCCCGCCACCACCCAAAGTCATTAAATCAGAAACCATGCCCACACGTCCCCACCAGGATATTGTTACAGCACTCAAATGTAGAAAGGAACACAAAGAGGTAAGTTCCAGTCAAACTGAGATGAATATCCATTACATGGCCACAGGTGAAGGAGAGTGCGCTAGTTATTAAATGCTAGCTTGTGTAAATGTATTCTTGCGCTCTGGTGTGAATTAATCTCCACTGTTGATGCTCTGCCAAGCTTCTTCAACACTTTTCATGCAGGTTAGACTGTAAAGTGATGATTTTTAATTCACGTCAGGCTCATTATTGTTTATTTGAACCCTGCTGTGAGTTGAGGGTAGTGTTGGGGAGTGCTGCTGATCATTTAGACTCCCCCACAGATTGTGTCATTTACAGATGGGCCTTCTGGCACCACATCATGCTGTTAGCCACAGATTCCCATTCCCCTGAGCAACGGTTGATATCAGCCACAATTAGCTGTCACCACACACTGATGTCTCTAAGCACATCCTCCCTCCTTTCTCATGCTGAGCACATTTACAACATGAGTGTTGATACTAGTAAACATACAGAATCCTCCGCTGATCAATCCCAGCTCCACATACTGAGCTGTTATTGATGAACTGTATTAGCACAGTCAGCTCTTGCTGGTAATTGAACCACTAGATGATTTTACAGATGAGAGCAGCTCAATCGATGTTTTTGTAATTGTGTTTGCCTGAACTGATTGTGTCTCTGGACGAATGTTCTGGCTCCAAATTAGCTGTAATTAACCCTATATCCCTTCTAACAGTTATACACAGTGGTGCAGCATGTGAAGCACTTCAATGACGTGGTCGAGTTTGGAGAGAATCAAGAGTTCACTGACGACTTTGAGTACCTGGAGACAGGACTGAAGAGCAGTCAGCCACTTAACACGAGATGCCTTAGGTAAGTGTGAAGAAACACTCAGTCCAATTAGTTCTCCCTACAGATGCACACTCTGTCTGGCCTGATGTGAATTTGTTTGTCTTTCCTGCTTAGTGCCATGTAAAAAGTATTGAGTGCTGAATAGTGCGAGCACCTGTTAATTACATCTTATTTGCAAACTGATTGTTCCTTTCCTTTCAACAGAGTACCGTTTATGAATGTTGGTGTTTGAATAAACACAACATTCTCTTTCTCCACCTGTGTTTATCTCCTCTATTATTTCTTGTGTCTATTGGAATTATTTGTTGAGATAAAGTCAAAAGTTCTGATCTGTAACTGAGGTTGATGTTAAAAACTACCATATCTTGAGGTGTGACGGGAAGAATAGAAATGCAGAGAAACATGTTGTTGATGAAATCCACAAATGGTGATAAGATTGTGACAAGTGTTGTGACATCTTTTCACCTGCTTTCCTTAATTTCCAGTATAATCAGCCTGGCAGCACGATGTGCCATGCCTAGTTTTAGGATGCACCTCCGGGCCAGAGGAAAAGTGGCGCAGGTCTTCAAAATGCTCAGTGATGCTCCACAACATCCAGTCAGTCAAACCTTTTCTTTCTTATGTCGTATAAGTTTTTTTTTTTTTTTTTCAAATGGGAACATTATGATTGAAAAATTTAAGTCTTAAATCTTGAACCCCAGCTTGTAGATTTCTGTCTCTGTGCCAGAGAGAGCCATAACGCCCTGTAAAAACTGATATTATTCCTCCAGAACCTGGCTCTGTGCACAGCTGCCCTGATGTACATCCTGAGCCGGGATCGTCTTAACATGGACCTGGACAGGGCATGTCTGGAGCTGATGATAAAGCTGCTGGAACTCGACCAGGAGTACTGCGCTCACCAGGATCAGCTCACTGCGAAGGAAGTAGCCAAGGTCAAGGAGAAGATCAGGAAGTTGTGCGAGACTGTCCACAACAAGCACCTCGACTTGGAGAACATTACGGTAAGCTGGCCCTCATTAGAAAACCATGTCTGTAGCCATTTTTACAAACAGAAATTTAGAAACATTTCCCCGTTAGTGTAGAGAGCCTTCACCGGTTTCCAGATACATCATCTTTTCATCGGCCTCGACTGGAGAAATTCCGTGCCGTCACCACTGAGGGAGAGGCATTTATTATCGTTATTATCAAAATGTGGACGCATTATTCTTGGCACATAACAGTAGAAGTTTGGAAATGGATGTGAACATTGACAAATGACTTCATCTTGCAAATTCAGGAGGTCTTTGCAAGTCCGCAATTTATTTAATTCTTATGCTCTAAAGCAATTGCATCATATTTTCAGCCTAAATCCAAAGGATGACATTCTACGATCAAATTATCAATGCTACAAATTTGGCACCTGTGTTTCACAGACGGGCCACCTCGCCATGGAAACGTTGCTCTCCTTGACTTCAAAGAGGGCCGGGGATTGGTTCAAAGAAGAGCTGCGGCTGTTAGGAGGCCTGGACCATATTGTGGACAAAGGTATTTTGGCATCCTTTATTTTACAGGTGTGGGTTTGCGATTTAGTAATAGATACCTGAAATAGTCATGTGCATTCCGTGTCATGCCACAGTGAAAGAGTGTGTCGAGAACCTGAGCCAGGAGGATGATAAAGAAAACCTTGTTGCAGCTTTGTGGGGAGCTGAGAGGTGTCTGCGCGTGCTGGAAAGTGTAAGTAGAGTTTTGTTGAGTTGGCTTCTGTCTTTCCAATGTTCAAAAGACTAAAGAAAATGGTTCTTTTCAAAGATATCTCTGATTCATATCTTATGCCCAAATGTCTGCGCTAAACCGATAATCTATGCCATCATATTTGGTGTAGTGCATGTTTTCCCTAATTGATACGATTTATCTGTCGTTTTTTGCTCACAGGTGACAGTACAAAACCCCGAAAACCAGGCTTACCTGATTGCCTACAAGGAGTCACAGCTCATTATCTCTTCTGCCAGGTGAGACTTAGTTAAAGAGTTCATTCAGTTCATTTTGATATTTGTGCCAGTCATATTAATACTGAAGCAAATGGAGAAACTCCTGTAACCACCGTAGCACATGTCCATCATAAAGGGAGCAAAACTGACAAGAGAAAATCTCAACACAGTAAAAGAAAATCTCAACGTGTAATTTTTAACCAAAGGTCAGAGCTGTTTCTGGTGGCCATTCCAAGTTGTCTTTTCTATTCCCCCTGACTTTAAATGTGTTTTTCTTTCACCCCTGATTTTGAAATGTGAAATGTTCCGGGTTTATGGTCTTCACAATTACTCTTTTGTGGCGGTTATCAGAGCTTTGCGGTACTGTGAGGACATGATTCAGCGCTACAGCAGGGCGTTAAACAACAGCTCACTGTCATCGACGGGTGTCACGCTGCCCCACTGCAGCTTCAGCAACGTGGGCAAGGCTGTGGAGGACTGTATGAGAGCCATTATAGGGGTGCTGCTCAACCTTACCCACGATAATGGTACTTTCACTAAAACACCATTTTCTTTGGCTGTGGTTTTGCATAATTAAAGTGTTTTTGACGCGGTCATATTTGATTGATATCTCCGGTTTGTTCTCTGCAGATTTCAGCACACCTAATATTTTGTGAGGAGCATGAACAGAGGTTAATATTGATGTTGTGTGTTTTTTTTTTTAACTAGAGTGGGGCAGCACCAAGACGGGCGAGCAGGAGCAGCTCATTGTCACTGCTCTCAATTGTGTTTTACGAGTCCCGCGGTACATCCCACAGGAGCAGCGCTTTGATGTGCGAGTGCTGGTGAGGCTCCGCTGCACTCTTCAGTAACACACATGTCCACTCCATGTTCTGCCCGCTCACACTTTCTGTCCGAGTGTCTTATTTTTGCATTCTGTGGTGTGATTCAGGGTTTGGGCCTACTAATTAACCTTGTGGAGTACAGCTCCAGAAACCGACACTGTCTAGTTGAAATGGAGTACACTGTGGACGACACCTGTTTGGAAGACAGCCTGATGCAGCCTGCTGACCCAACGCAGGCAGAGACCGCAGCACACTCATCTGAGACTCAGGGAGACGAGGCTGACAAGCCTAAGCCCTCTGGAGCTTTGGCTGCCCTAGTAAAGGTAGGAACGGTGCCAGAACTAGATAGATTTGGCTTCCATTGGTGGCATTTGTTTTAAAGTAATCAACTGGAATGTTTTGCACATCTTGTTTGTATAAATGTCTTCAGGAGACATAGAAAGGAAACGGTTGAAAACGAACGTTTAAAAAAAAAAGATCACATCAGGGACTGCATAGACGGCTGTTTTTCTGAGGCATTTAATTAATTTTTCCCCTCAGTGCACAAAATACAAGCTGCACAATTAAATGATTAGCTAAACAAATGTTCATGTATGTAGTTGTGAACTTCTTGCAGCCTGAACATGAAGTTGGGCAGACGTGTTGATCCATAGTCATTTAATTAAGCTTCAACATGAAGGTTTATTTAGACTTTCTGCTTTTTTGAAATTTTTGCACAAGTTCAAGATTATTTGAACTAAAATAACTTGTCAAGCTTCAGACATGGAGTGTTTTTTAGTATAAGATGCTGTTGTCCCTAATCCTTGTTGGCATGGTATTTATAATTGTATCATGTCAATAGTATAAAATTGTCTCAAATTCGTTTGTTGTCCTCGGAGGCTAAAGCTGTTATCTTTCACTAAATAGCTCTTCCTTGAGAGGGAGCGAGCTGCCATCCTGGCTGAGGCGAAGACAGATGACCTCATCAGTGAGGCCCCCAAGCCGGCGCTGGACCAGAGCGGAGAGTGGCAGGAGACATCAGGAGAGATCCAGTGGGTGGCATCTGAAACCAACGAAAGCCAACCCGAAAAGAAAGAGGAAGAGGACGAAGAGTTGGACCTAAATAAGGGTAAATATTCTGTACAGATGTGCTTTTTTTCTTTTTTTCTTTTGTTCAACTCTGAATGTAGACAATTGTTCTTTGATTAGGAGCAGTTATTGCTACACAGCTAATTAGCGTTGGAGTAAATAACTACTGAATCCCGCTGGGTGAATTTAAAAATAAACTTACTTTCCATGCAGATTTCATGCACAGCCTTTGTTAAACTTCTCAGTGATGAATTTGATTAAAGTTTCTTTGTGGCGGAACATTGCAATTTTATTGGATTTCAGTCACCAATAACTTTCTTAAGTCATGATTAGGCAAAGTATAATGATCTCAAACTACTGCGGACCCTATTGGAAGCCTGTGTTTTTCCTGTTAGCTAAAGCCACCACTCATCTCGTTCCGCCTCAGTAAAACATGTGAACCATTATTTAGACAGCATGCTGGCTACATGACTTTGTTGTCACGATGGTGGATGCCAGTCCTCCATTAGTTTTTGCTGGCTCCGGGCCCACTCACTGAGGCTGGTAAACGTTAACCAAATCTGCAAATCGCAGATAAAGTAACTGGTCAGTTTTCCACAAAGGCTTTCTCAAAGATTATTTCTGGTCTGTGCAGTAGTCTGTTGGAGTAGCATGTTTGTAGAGAGCATGCAATAATGGAGATGAGCCTTTGTGTTGGCAGCATAAAACCATGGGCTTTTCATTATTTTGTATGTTGATGTGTGCTTGTTGATTTCCCAGCTCTACTCTACCCCACACCTGCATCTGTAAACCTTTTCCTTTCTCTCCCGTGTGTGCTTCAGCTCTCCAACATGCAGGCAAACACATGGAGGACAGCATCGCGGCTTCCTACACGGCTCTGTTACTGGGCTGCCTCTGCCAGGGCAGCCAGGTGAGAGCATGCAAATGATCTGGGTAATTTAGCAATCTGTTCTCACCTGGAGGCCTTCATGTTGTTGATCACCTGCCCCTCTGATGTCCTCAGATGAATGTGACGACTGTGAGAGAGCATCTGCCTAAAGGGGATTTCTCCATCATGACAGAAATGCTGAAGAAGTTCTTGAGTTTCATGAATCTCACTGTGAGTATGACTGCAGTAAAGACACAACTATCTGAATGCCACAATGGAGGCATATTAACAAATCTGTTTACTGAGACCTCCTTTAAGTGTTGTTCTCATCCTACATTTGAAACTAACTAAATAAGAAAAACAGATTCTCTTTAAACGGACTCATTCTGTGGAAGCATGTAATTGCAAACTAGTGAACCATGGCCAAAAAATGATAATGATAATAACAAATATTTTAGAGCAGGCAATGCTTTGCCACCACATTTTACTTGAGTTAAATAACTTTGAACTTCATCCCAAAGCGATTGGATGTTGCACATCTGAAATGTCCCCCAGTCTCTTAGTGGCTGCTCTGATGTCACTGCCTGCTTTACTGTGTCCTTGTGATAACAAATGTCATCTATAAATTCAAATTCATTAAGTATTATTAAGAATTTTAGTCCAAACTAAGTTATGATGCGAATTTTGGAGCCGTCTCTTCTAAATAAGTCAGGGCTTCATATTAATTGAACTGCTCCACAGGCACAGATGTGCGTTTTGCTCAGAACTGATGACTGGAACCATCTGCTTCATAAATATTGCCCTTAACAGCTTGGACAACCTCAGATAAATGTGACCACAGACGATGTCGGGAAGTCTTGAGTTTTTGTCTCAAGACCCCACGACTGCAGCTGGTTGTCATAGGACTCTCAAACTGTTTGTTTTCCTTCCCTCTCTTCACGCAGTGTGCAATGGGCACTACAGGACAGAAGTCCATCTCACGGGTCATCGATTATCTGGAGCACTGTTAACACGCAGCGTACCACAGAAAACTCCCTGCACATTTTAAAGGACTCGGGCTACTGTGGCCATCCACCTACCCAGAGGGAGCGACAAGGGGACATCAGAGTTGCTCTACCTTGACTTTATTCGATCCCTCTGATCTCACAGATTAATGCATATGTGTGTATAAACGCACAAATAGAAAAAATTCTCTCCCTATCTGGAGCACAGCCTGAACCAAAGCCCTGCTAGCTGACAGTCATGCAGATTTTATTCCGTTTTTTTCCCCCTACAACTTCTGCTCAAGTAACGCATTTAAAGTCAAATCCAGATTCTTCCTCCAATGGGAACAGGCAGATTCTGCCTAAATAATTCTGCAGAATGTCAGATAAGATGGACTCAAAGCAGACCTCTCTGTTCATCGTTCCAACAGCTTTGACAACAGGCCACTGAGGAGGAGACTCCTCTCGGCTGTCAGGTGTTGATTTCTGGTTGCGTAGCTGGAGTGTGAACCTCCAAATCAGATTTTATGGATCATTACATTTTAATCTCTTCTTATAAACGTCCAAGCCAAGGGTGAAATCATTGATCTGCCGGAAAATCAATCATTTTAATGGATGTTAGAATGATGAGTATATGTAAACCCTGAAGTGATTCTGAATGCATACATCCATTTACCCTCATGTTCACTGATCGAATGTTTAAGGGAAAGAGAATTTTTAAGCTTTTATTTTTATGTTTTTATTGTTCTCATTTAAAAAAAAAAAAATCTTTATTTTTCTGAATGTTTTAGCTCTCTTAATTCCAAAAGAGCATTTTCCTTTAAAATTCTGAATCCCTGTTTTAGAAATCAGGATTGCATGACACACTGACTATGCTGGGATGTCTTATGTGACTGAGAATGGCACTTGGAAATGACATGCTATGATGAATTTCTTTTGAAAGACCTTGTCACTCATATTTGTTTTATTTTTTTTTAGTTTTAGATAATTTAAATTTAGATAATTGAATAGTTTGTAAGTACTATATGCATTTTAAACTTACAGTTATAGCACATATGAATCACCATGATGGCTGTGCTTCGCTTTTACATTGTAATGAATAACTTTTGAAAATGTATTTAATTTAATGTGTTTTCCTTCCGTTGTGTAAATGCTAAATCTACCCTGTGAGATGTCATCTTGTTTTAATATAATCAAACCCATTACACAGTGCTCAGTGGCTGGACTTGGTTGTATGACTGAATTTTCTTTTTTTTTTTTTTACTTTGAAAGGCACAACAGTTATTCAAAAAACATTCAGTAAAACGGGAGGAATGGTTTTCTAGTTAAACTTAATTGAAGTATGGTTTGCTCTGTGTGTCCAGCCACATGCAGCTTTGTGTTTTTCCGCGTTGGACTACATGCATTAAGCTCCCGCGTATTTATTCTGCTGTGGTCTCATTTTACCTGTGATTATGCACCTGACCTCTGAAAAGCCTCCGTCGTGTACTGCTCACATGTACGATCACTGAACTGAACGACAGCCATACCTGTACAAACATCAGTTCTTTCTGGTTTGTAGGGCTGCAGTGAACATAACTGCTACTGTGTTTACTGTTAATTACTTTGCAGAATTTTGGTCTCAATGGACTCTCAGAATGTAAATACTCCTGTACATAGCAGTTAATGGACATTTAAATATTTAGACTGCTTTTTTGCCCCCACTGAAGCTGATATTTTTATTTTATACAATATTTCTGAGTTGTTCCAAGAAACAAAAGTTGCAGGAAGAGGAAACAAAATGTTTGTACTTGTTTCAAGGACATTGTCTCTGGTTACATGTAAATAGTTGTATCTCAAACGGGAAAAAAATTGCTACTTTCAGTACACTCCCTGTGTGTTTTCCTTCTTTTTTTTCTTTCTTAAATTTTTGTAGTTTAAAGTGTTTTTTTAAATTGTTTTTTTTACTTAAAGCAGTTAGAACCACATACTTTTTCCTTTTAGCATCCGTGCATGCTGCAGCCTCTGAATGCTCAGCTTTGTCCCTGCTTGTTTCTGTGTGTGCGTGCATCAGCCAGCCGTACTTGCTTATCTGACAAACTGCCTGGGATGGAGTGAGAGTCCAGATTGCCATCCGCATACTTAAGCGCGCACAGCAGTTTAACCGACAGCATAATGGAAACAAAAGATTCTTGTTGCAGTTGCGAACTTCCCAAAAAAAAAAAACCCCAACAACCTCAGAATGTGGGTAAAATGTCGGGAAAATGCTGACTGGCAACAAAGAGGTGACCGGCTGCAGCTGTGCTAACAGTGATACCACCAGGAAGAACTGACAAGACAGCAGAATATCTAGTGGTAAACATTGCACAGATAGTATGTAATTATGTCTTTATGTCTCATCGCCCAACATGCAAATGCATGATTAGACTCGGGTGGAGGAGCAGATTTAAATTCCAAAGCGCATGAGGCTTGAATATAAAGGACTGGCATCTATGTCTTTCATCTGCCTTTACTAGATTATACATGGCAGGGCCTCTGTTGTAGGAAGTCAAAATGGTCCACTGGAATAATCAATGTTTTGGAGAAGTGTATGGGCAAAGCAAAGAGAAAGCACAGCTTTTTCTGATAGTTTAACAAGATTGGTAGGCTGTCCTCCGCTGCTGGATAATGTGAGCAGGGGAGAGGAGGATGAAGAGCACAGGGGATTAACACTTCCCACCTGCCAATCCGGAGCTTTTCCTTGAAGCTGCACGTCCTGAGGCGCAGAACAACAGATTTCTGCAGCTTCTCAGCGTTCATCCTTTGATCTCTCCGTCTCCGGCTACGTTTTTTTTTTTTTCTTCATGTTTCCACAGTGCTCTTGTCAGCTGTTCCTCTCCCTTGTTCACATGATTTTTTTTTGTTGTTGCTTTTTTTTTTTTCATAAAACAAGGACCATCTTCTCTTTTTCTGTGCTGTTTCATAGAAGAAATCCACATACAAAAAAATGAACTCTTTGGCCTCGGGTGACTTTGTTTGATGTTTTCTATCCTCATTGTGTTTTGGAGAATAAACCGAAGTCACTGACATCATGCTGGTGAGGAGCCAAGACCCTTGATGCCACTAGGTGGTGTGAGTACTCAGCTACTGACCACAGCGTCTGAGTGGCTGAACACCCCAACATGTTTTTGTTCCACAGCATGCATGCACGTATCTTCTCATCAGCAGTGTTGCCCGCTGATTTCCCCTCCAGCTTCAAGCGCCGTGTCTTTGGAGAGATGAACGACGCAGTGGCATGCGCGCACATTCATACATCCCTTGAAGATTTGGTGAAACATTTATGAGGAGGCTGCTCCGCTGACCACTGGCGCCCTTATGTGCCTAAATCATGCTGTCACATAAAGGAACCGGCTTCCCACTTGTGCACTAAGACATGACAAACGCATGCAAACTTCAGGCTCTGCAGCTTTGAGTGCTTTTCAAGGCAGTTATGAAGTTTGTGCCCTCAGAGATGTTAAATCTGTATAACGGCATTTAATTAGTGTGTTTTGATTTATTAAATCCTTCAAAATATGCACACTCTCTCCCTTCATCTTTTTATATAAAAAAAATAAACTCGAGATAAAATTAACTGGTTCTGATTTCAGGCAATTTCAGGGGAAAAAAACGACGTAATGTCATCAGGATCAACTACAGGGCATATTTGGCAGTATGTCAGTATTTAATACTTGGAAATGACTATAAAGTTGTCTGGTTGTCCTCACAGGAAAGGTTTAGTGGCAACTGAGGCTACAATGATAATAGAAAACCCGATTATACACTTGAAGTCATGAAAGCTGATATGTTCACACTAAAGCTGTAGTGTTAAAGTTAGAAGTTGCTTATTAGATTTTCTGGGTCTCAGCGTTTAAAATCAATACAGAAAAAAAAGTCCATACTGCATGAATGTGTCATGAGCTGCAATCCTATTTGGTTCAGGAGGTAAACATTTTAAAATGACAGGATTTGTTGCTCAGTCTTGGCACGCCAGTTGCTTGCAGGTTTTGTCAAACAGGATAAAGAAATACATTTGTTCGAGCTGCTATGTTGCAGATTTTGTGCTTCTGTGACCCGACCACAGTCATTCCTCAACTGACCTCAAATAACCACCTTCATCCACCTGTATAAAAATGTGCGTGATACCGGGTGCATTGTGGTTTTCTGCAGGGGTTTGTATTGTTTGAGAGCTTACCAACTTATAAAAATAATGCTGTTTAAATGATGTAATCTCATTGTCTTGTATTTATTCCTATTAAATGGCTGTTATGCTTCATCAAAGGTATGTGCATCATTGAATTCTTAGCTGTTTATCCGATTAAAGTCTACCGAAAATTAACCAACTCTTAATCAGATTATTTGTACAAAAGCTGATCAGTTATATCTTTATAACAGCCTGGATTATTTACAGTCGAACATGAATAAAACACTTCTATTGAGATTTGGCTCTCCTGAGAAAACTTGATCATCAATTACACATTTTTTTCTTGCATTTTTAAATGCAGAAATGTTCATAATTATCTTTGTTGTATTTTTATATAAATATATTAAACATATCAATATAAATAAGTTATATATAACATAATATCTTACTGTAATATTTATAACTATGATATATAGCTTTGGTCATGGTGCCGCGAACAAATGAACTCTCATTGTGGTTACCTGGTGACTCATTAGGAATTAATCAGGTTGAGAAAAGTAGGTAGTCTTTCAGAACTTAAACTTCTGAACTCTGTCAAAGTGGACATATCAATCAACAGTTCAAAAGTGATCTTTTTCATCTTTAACACCACAAAGAACTCCAAATCTTTATTGTTCTATGTTACAACGATGAAATGACTGAAGCTATAAGAATAAGCACATGGAATGAGGCTGAAAAACAGTAAAAACTGATTATCAACCGTCAGTGTGTTTAATTCTGTATCTGTAACTGCCAAATTCATCAATTGTTATACTCGTTTTACACAATTTTCTAGAGAGACATTTTGAAATGATAATGGCCTGCAGTTTATATAACCCATTCTTTCATATTCTTCATAACTGCAGGTGTTAAGTAAGCCCATTTTTCAACATTATGAACACAACATGAAAGCAAAAGGTTCAACTAATTAACCTTAGACAAGGTGCCCCTGGTAATTTGAAAAGATTCCAGGTGATTGCTGTGAGCATGAAAAGCTGTCATCAAAATAAAACGTGATTAGTTAAGAATCTAGTATAAAGTATTACACTCATTGTCCTTGTTTGCAAGCTTTTATCTAACTAGTATGTATTCTGGTGTGGGGAGATTCTATTGAACGAGACTCTTAAGATATTTCTGTGATGTCTGTCCAGTTTGACACGCTGCTAAAGGAGAATGAACTCCAGCAGTAATTATTCTTCAACCGACTAGAGGGAAATCAAAGCACTTCGACCAGAAGTTCACAATACGTGCTGAAGCAAAGTACAAAGAATCACAGCAAGAAAACCAGATCGAGCAGAACCTCAAACAAGAGTGTGAAATGAATCTACAAATGTGCAGGTTTTCATTTTCTGAAGCTTAAATGATTGTGCAACCGTTAAGACAAAACAACCGACCAGTTGAATTGGATTTCTTTTGAGCTTGTGGCCTTTTATTTGTTAGTCAAAACAGATTATGCTATCGGTTAAACGATGAGGCTGAGCTGGGCATTTTTTCTCGAAAAACACGGGGGAATCAATCCCACTGTTAGCAGAATGGGGAACCTGACTACGAAACCTTGGGTTGTGTCACTCCAACTACAAAGAATTTATTCAAACAGTTTGTCAGTTTGTCAGAGTAAGCGCAGCCGACTGCCACAGCACACTTTGCTTTGCACCCTAAATGGATGCACTCCCCCCTGTCTTGTTTACCCTCACAAGCGCACACATTTGCAGGTACACACACTGTTGGCACATTAAAAGATAAACATGGCCCTTCGAGCACCTCCCAATAATAGCTGCAAAAAGAAGCACCTTTGTCGAAGCGCATTGCAACGCACCAGACTCGTAAACATCCCCTCAATATTTTTCAGATTCTTACAAAACAGAAAAAAAAAAAAAAGAAGCTGTGCAAACATCTCTCCGGCTCATAAATGTGAAGGGAGCCGCTCATGTGTGATCTCGCCCCTTGAATCATTGAGTGGCAGGGCAGAAAGACTCTCCAGCCCATCTGTATTCCTGGTTGTGCGTGACCTGCACTCTAAGGGATGGGCTTTGTCCACAGGCAGCCCAGATGAGGAGCAGAGTGGAGTGGTAGTATTACTACCCCACACTGGCCCTGCCTCTTGCCGTCCCCCACCTCGGGGCTCAGCCGGGCTCACGTCTGCGGCGGCCGGGCGGAGCCTGGTCAGCGTTTTGTGGGGTCAGAGATTTTTTGGTCGGAGTGCTGTTTTTTTGTGTGTGCATTAAGGCCGGAGGCATGTGAGTGCTGTATTGTGTTAGCATGCACGCGTCTGAAAAGCGTCCATTAGGTTGTTGAAATGACCGCCCATGGTAGCTCCTTCAGGTGATCTCTTGCTTTTAATTGGAATGCTCATCTTCATTCACCGGCACGCGCAGGTCTGCAGCTCGATGTACAGATATGCTGCACATCCTCACACCCTCAGACTACACATTCCCAAATCAGCAGATGGGTAATAATCAGCCCATATTTCCATTAGCGGTTTGATTTATTTTGATTTCATTGTGTCACAAATCTAATGAAAAGGCTGTGTTTTGAAGAGATGCTCACACATTATCTGCGGATATTGAAACCAGAGTCTACAAAACCAAGGCAACCGCACCAGGAAAGAGAATATATCACGGGTAATTACAAAATTACTTGCCAGAACCATTTATTCGTCCAAAACCTGCTGACTATCTTTACTAACTGTATTTCTGAGGTATTTTCCATTTGTATTTGTATTTGATTTATCTGTAAGAAGTAAAATCCCTA